GGCCCCCTAGAGGTCCCACGAGGCCCCAAATTGGCCCAACAAGAGGCCCCAAGAGAACCTCAAACGGTTCCAAGAGGCCTCCTAAATTGCCTCCAAGAGGCCCCCGGGAGGCCTCACACGAATTCCAAACGACTTTCCAAGAGGCCTCTTACCCACAACCCAGGCACGGTGGCAAAATGAGCCAAGAACCATTGAGCGGTCCAAGACGGCCTACGGACGGCCCACAGCAATCCCGAACCCTTCCCTTCTTGCACCTCCCCAGTTGAAAAGATCCCCCTCCGGGTCATCAGCAACATCCATCGCGCGTTTCTTCGAGTCTGAGCGCGCTTTTTTGAAGACGCAACCCCACTCTAAGAGGTCTCGCGAGCTCCCACATGGCCAGCCACAGGAACGACTAGCGCGTATGCGCACCCGCAGACGTCACATACGAGTCGACCACCCACTGGTGGAAGGCCCGCACGACAGAACACGGCCCTCTGGCCGAGCGCTGGTGGCAGGCCGTGGATTCAAACGGTGCAACGCGCAGCGTGCAGGGTAAGCATAGTACAGTACCACAAGAGCCGCCCTTACCAGCAGATACGAAGTCGGCAACACTCGACGTGGGATACAGAGAGGCGACAGACAGTCAGGTCGACCATCTGTTTGCGGCTGCAGGCCGAGCCAAACTCAAAGTCACCAGGCAGCGGGCCCAGGAATTGAGACAGAGAAGACAAGCACAGGCGCTGGAAAACACAAAACTGAACAACATGATGGTCGGTGCATCACTTGGCGTGGCTGGGGCGTGGGACGTTGCGGGTCTCCGTAGCCCACGGATTCAGCTGCCTTTGTCGTTTAGAAGTTAGCGATTCACTCGGGACGTCCCCTTACAAATGCCTTCGAAAGCGTTTCGCTCGAGACCTATTCAACAGGATGCTTTCCGACAGGCACAGTGGTGTTGGTTCTTGAGCTTACGCGGGCAGTGAAAAGCTCGTGTGGTCGGCGAAGGGGGCAGACGACGAGAGCGACGAGGCGAAGGTACGGGCGCCGAGGCGGAAAAGTACGAGCGGCAGCGGGATGATCAGGAACAGTACCAGGAAGGCGATCCAGAAGCTCACCCAAGGTAAGCTTCCGCCAGGTCTCAAAGCCTGGCCAGACGGGCCCACATGAGGCTCGTCGTCGGCTGCCCTCACGCGGAGGGGACGAACCAGCTGCCGAGGCGGGCGGGCGCGGAACAGTATTAGGATCAGGTTTTTGCCCGCGTGAGTTCAGCGCGCCGTTCAAATTGGCGTGCGTAGTGGGCTCTATTTTTTCTGTTGCCTTTCTGGGCGTGCGCCTGCGGTGCAGTTCATCTCGATGGTGTTGCATGTTTTGGTAAGGTTTCGGAAGTGTCATGCTCATTTTGCAATGGCGAGACTACTACGTGCGCCAGTTCAGCGCCACGTGTGAACTTGCGCGGGTAGTCATCTCCACCTCGTACCCCCTTTGTGGACGTTCGGGAAGAGCGCATCTGCTACATTCGATCTCGCTATTGGTGCATGCTCTTGCTATGATCTTCGATTTCGAAGGCCTTACGACCGGTGCCGCCGACCCTGAAGGGGGACGGCGGCGGTGGCGGCGACGGCGACGACGCTGACGTGGGCCCGAGTCCTCAGGAATGCTTCTTGGGGTCTCCTGGGGAGGTTCTTAGGGGCCTTTGAGGTGGAATGTGCGGGTCTCTCGGGCGCCTCTTGGGGGCCTCTTGGGGGCCTTTTTGTCCAGGTGTCCTGGGGGCCTCTTGTGGGCTTCTTGGGGCCTCTTGGGGACCTCTTGGGGCTTCTTGTGAGCTTCAGGGGGCCGAGGGCTCGAAATGTCCGTTCGGGTTCCTTGTCAAAGCGCGCTCTTGAACGTTTTGGGGGCCTCTTGGGCCGCCTTGGAGGCGTTTTGGGATGTTGTGGGGTTATCTTGGGATGTTTTGGAGCGCGCTATTGGAAGCGTCTACGGCCGCCTCGAGGCGATATTGAGGGTTTTTTTCGGCCGTCGCGGAGCGGCGGGAAGCGGAAAAGGCGAGACATCGATCAACAAACCCTCCCCCCCGACTGGGGAAGGATCAAAGAGAAGGGGGTTCCGTTCGGCTCGATTACGACGTTGCGAGGTTTTTCTTTCGCTGGCACTTCGGAGGAGGATACAGGGAAAGGGGGCGACGCAGACGACGACGAATGGAGACGACGATCCGAACAGACAAACCCTTCGCCAACGCCGGCCAACGCCGACAGGGTCAGCGGAGTTCACGCGTTTCCCGCTCATGTCAGGAAAGGTTTCTGAAACATGGTCGTCTCGCTGGAAACATCTTCGAACAACCGGTTTCGGAGAGGACCCCGGACCACCATTATCTTGGAATCGTTCCCGACGGTTTTCAAAACGACCCAAGAGAGATCTCGAAGGCCCCCCAGTGGACCTCTAAAGCGCCCCGAGGGGCCCCCAAGAAGCACCCAGAGGCCCCCACGAGCATCCGAAGAGGCCCCGGGACTGCCCAAGAGAGCCCTAAGACGGCCCAAAGCAGCCCAAATTGGCGGTAGGATGGCCTGGAACAACTCCCATCGAACCCCAGGACATACCCAGACAACCCAAGAAGTCTCAGTAGACACCAAGAGGACCCCGAGAGGCCCCATGAGGCCCACAGGATGCCCCAAGATAGCCCCAGACGGCCCCAACAGCCAGCCCCCAGGGTAGCCTCAAAGGGTCACGAGGACCCCTCTCTTTTTCAACATCCTGTTCGTCGGACTCCTTGCCGTCCTTTTTCGTCGTTGTCCTTTATGTTATCCTCCTCCGTTTCCTCCTCCGCTTCGTTCATCCTCGTACTCGTCCTCCTCCATCTCTTCCTCCTCGTCCTCGTGTTTGTGTTCCTACTTGTTGTCCTCATGCTCCCCTCGCTGCCCTCCTCGCCATCCACGCTGCCGTCCTCGACCTCCGCCTCTCGTCGTCGCCAGTATCCATTTTTGTTTGGCACGAGCCCGATGGACAAAATCGGCGCTTCCCGTTCTTGTCCGATCAAGTTGGAAGTTTTAAATAAATGCAAGGGATCAATTGCCATCCTGACCCCCATAAACAGGCTTCGGCTTGTATTGAACAACCCTACTTTGTTGGCTGTTCTTCCGACGAGCGTTTAGTCAGGGCCTAGCATGTAGGGGCGTTTGTTGGGAGGGCATGGATTATGCCCTCTACCAGTCCGAATCTTAGCCGCAGTCAAGGTCGCAGCCCTGATGTTGGTTGTCTTGCTGTTGGCGTTTGTCCTTGTCAGAGTGTTCGCCCCCGCCACGAGTTTGATATCCGTGTGGTGTATTGTGGTGCGTCAGTCTTCACCAGCGCTCGGTTACACCCAGCGGCAAGCACGAGGTTCGAAACTCGGTTTCGTATGGGATGGAGCTGCCCACGGTTGTTCACCTGGTGGCTTCCAGTGACGTTGTCGACGTCGTGGTGCCGCTGACTGCGTTGCACCTCCTTGGCGTTCCCTTCCCAACTTCTGATGCGAGCTTCTGCGAGAAGAGGAGTCTGGAATTCTTGAAGCTTCGCGTATCCCCGCCAGTCCGACTTCAGTGTCAGGCAAGTTGCAGGCTATGGATTCAGAAGACATTGCCAGTGGTTCCTCGCCTTGGACTGGACGTTCTTCTGCCCAAGAGCGTCCTATGAGTCACTGCGAGTGAGGCCGCCATCTGTGCCCCTCGTTCTCCTGCCGCCGCGTGCCTTTGTGCCTGCTGTGTTTCTCCTCTTCCTTGGCCTCCTCTTTGTTTCATGGACGGTGCGGCCACCCCGGCCACTCCGTGCCGCTTCAGCGCAGCGTGCCCCGGCCATACGCGCTGTTCGGTACGGGCAGAGCCTGGCGCCACGTGTGCGACAGCTGCTTCCGTCCCCAGTTCGGGTTTGCGTTCCGATTTCGGGTCGCCAACGTCCTCATGAGGGTCATTTTGTCCCTGGCGCGTGCACCTGCTGCCGTGGCCTATGCGCCTTTGCAGCTAATTATCTCGCCCTGTGCCCCAGCCGAGTCCGTCCCGTTTCTTGGATCTGTCTTTATGAGCCGCCAATCAAAAAGTATCCCCACCAGTCCATCCAGAAACGATTGTCAGGGGAGTTACTCTATCAGGGACACGTGGAAGCAACGCAGTCGCACAGCCGCCGATGAAGCGTGCCGAAAAGGATGCAGCAAACAGCGGGAACATGCGTTTAGTTGTTTAACAATGATCCCCATGCCCCAGCGGTTTCGTGGATGTTCCCACGATTTGTTTTACGAGCTTTCCAACAACCTCTTGGGGCCATCTTGGGGGTAGGAGGAGGAGGAGGAGGAAGAGGAGGACGAAACGGAGGAGGAGGCAGCATAACAAAGGACAAGGAGGGACGCTCCACAACTTCTGAGCTTTCGGGAGGGGGGCTTCAATTTCGCACCCCCCCCTTCTTGGTCAGCGGGGCTAAAGGCTCCATAGCCAGCAAAGAGGGGCCTCGTCTTTGCAGGGTCTTCGCAGGGTCTTTGCAGGGGGTTGGGCCGTGCAAAAACTATGAGCAGATCATCGATACCTGGGAATCGAGGAGGCCTCTTGGGGTGGTCGTCAAGTCACGCCCCCCCCCCCCCCCCCCTTCGGAGGCACAAACAGGGCGTGTTAGGGCCCTCTTGGGGCGCTCTTGGAGCGCTGTTGGGGGCTCTTTTGGCCCCCTTGGGGCCCTCTCGGCCCCCTCTGGAGCTCGCTTGGGCTATCTTGGGGCCACCTCGAGGCCCCAAAAGCCAATCGCAAGCGATAGAGCTAGAAGGCAGAAACCATTTCGATGTTTAAAGGATTTGGGCCTCTTTGGGGGGGGGCCTTGGAACACACGAAGGGATTGTTTTGGGGCGTCTACGGGGTATGTCAGAGGCTATATTGATCCATGTTGAAACAGATTGGGCCATGTTGGAGGGGGCTTTCTGAAGCCCTCTCGGAACCATCTTGGACCGAGAAGCACCCTCTGACACCTCGCGGGGTGCCCCGTCCAACACACAGGGTAGGGGATGCTGGCTGATGGAGTGCGCCACACGGTGGTGCTCAGGAGTGACGGCACCGCCGCGGCCTGCGGCTGGAATGATCGTGGTCAGTGCGACCTCCTGGCTTTGGCCAGTGGCCTGACCTACACAGGTCGCCGCTGGAGAGGGTCATACGGTGCCCCCAGGAGCGACGGCACAGCCGCGGCCTGTGGCTTGAATGTTTTAGGGCAGTGCAACCTCCCAGCGCTGCCCGCGGGCCTGACCTACACGCAGGTCGCCGCTGGAGGGGGCCACGCGGTGTTGTTCAGGAGCGACGGCACCGCCGCGGCCTGCGGCCTCAATGGTCAAGGTCAGTGCGGCCTCCCAGCGCTGCCTGCGGGCCTGACCTACACGCAGGTCGCCGTTGGAGGGGGCCGCGCGGTGGTGTTCAGGAGCGACGGCACCGCCGCGGTGGTGCTCAGGAGCGACGGCACCGCCGCGGCCTGCGGCCTCAATGGTCAAGGTCAGTGCGGCCTCCCAGCGCTGCCCGCGGGCCTGACCTCCCGCGGTCACCGCTGGAGGGATGCACACGGTGTTGCTTAGGAACGACGGCACCGCCGCAGCTTGCGGCTGGAATTGTGATGGTCAGTGCGACCTCCCGGCCCTGCCCGGGGGCCTGACCTACACAGCGCACTTGCTTCCAGCCTTGCTCCTGCAGGCGTCGCTCGATGGCGGCTCAATGGTTTTCGTGACCTTTGGCGGGTCGGCGCCCACCGCCCGCCCCTCAGACATCTGCCTCCAGCTCGTGGCCGAGCACCGCGCGAGCAGGCTGGGCCCCAGAGCCTGGCGCGTCGAGGCGATCCTACCAGGGGGGGCGCCCGCTCACCAGTGACGGCGATGGGGGGATCAGGACATGGGGGGATGAGTATCCGGTACCGTCTTGTTGGGGTACAATTTGTACATGCTCTGCGGGTTGCAAGTACAAATTGTACCTTCTCCCCCCCCGTTAACATCCTCGCACATGTCGCGGACGTGGTCAAAAGTACAATTTGTACCTTGTCTGCGTGGCGTCGGTACAAGTTGTACCTTCTCCGTGGGGCGTGGGTACAATTTGTACCTCGGTTGCGCCTCTCTCCCCATCTGGACTTATCCCCCCATTTGCATCCCGCCAGTGGACCAGCGCCGCGGCCGAGGAGACGGTCGCCGGCTCGTTTCCTGACGCAGCCTAGCCGCTTCGCCGAAGCGAAGGAGGGCGGCCTTCGGATAAACAGAGCGCGTGCCGTTTGCCCGGGCAGTCGCGCAACGTCGCCGCCGCGGTGCCGATGATGCGGCCCTCCAGGAGCAGGAGCGGTGCTTCTTCTGATCTCTGGACGCTGTGCCTTCTTTGGGGCCGTGACCCCCACCGAGCCGCCCGATGCTCTTTGACTTCCTCGGTGCGGCCTCCCGGGGGTCTGGACCTTATTCACGGGGCCAGCTTTAAGTCGGGCCTGTCCCTCTACAGGGGGAATATCCAAAAATAGACGGGGGACCATGTTTTAGTATGTCTGCGTATCTTTGGAATACGTTTCTACCATTTTTAATTCTTCGTCCAGAATCCCCCTGTATGGGGGACAGGCCCGACCTGAGGCCAGCTCCTCATCCCGAGCTGTTCCTTGACGGCCCAGCGAGGGCCCCAGAGGCCGAATGCGGCGAAGCGCCCCCGCCTCGAGCTCCTCTTGGCGTCGCTCGGACGTGTGCATTTTTTTCTCGGCGACTGCCATCGAGGACCATCCTTCATCATTTGGCGAACAAAAAAACAACGAAATCGAAAAATACACTAGGAATGGACGTCCGAGCGATGGCGAGTTCTCGAGGCGCGGGTCGGGCCCGGGCCCCGCGTGGCTCCCGCCACCCAGGACGGGCCGCCCGCTGGGCGGGCCCGAAGGGCGGAGGGCGCGGGGGGGGGGCTCGGGCCGCCCGCTCTGCGGTGAAAGTCGGGCCCGTCCCTCCACCGGAGGGACATCCAAAGCAGCGTTTAAAAAATAGTCTGGGGACGATTGTTTGCCCACGTCTTTCCTGTGCAAGGCGTTCCTCTGCAAGCACATCGTCTTCGGCACCGCCTGATTCCGGGGCTTTGCCCCCTCCTGGCCTTGACGTGAGGCCCCTCCTTCTGCCTTCCCCCCTCTGTAATTAAAGCTGTGCGCGGCCCGCTTAGCTTCGACCGGAAGAGGTGCGCCCTCGACCCGCGGATCAAAACATGTTTTGCTATGTTTGCCGCTGCGGAGGGCAGTGTTTCAGTATTTTCCATTTTTCGCCCAACATCCCCCTGGTGGGAGGACACGCCCGACCTGACTCTACGTCCGGAGCGCCCAGCGGGGCTCCTGTGGAGCGACAGAGGGGCGCGAGGCAGCACGGCGTAGCCCATTCCTGCTTCCCGCACGGTCTGGATCGCTCGCCCCCGAGCCGGCGTGGCTCCGCGCGGCGCTGCTGGTGCACGGCACCGAGGTGTTCTTGAGCGAGAGCTCGTGGTGTGCAACGACTGGCTGGTCCACGCCGCCGCTGTTCTTGACGAACCAACAACACACACCCATACCCATAGGGGGATCGGAGAGGGCTATGGGTGCGTGTTGTCGGATGGGGGTCCCCGCTCGAACGGGAGCGTTCCCCAGGGTCCGACAACCCGCTCCCATACCCATAGCCAGTCCTCCTCCCAACGACCCCCCTATGGGTATGGGTGCGTGTTGTCCGTTCGTCATTTCTGGAATGCGGCGAGGCAGGATTCCTTCCGAGGCAGGTTGCTCTTGAGGCACGGCGGCAACTCTTCGGAGCCAGGGCGCGCCCGCGGCAAGAAAGGGATGTGACACGCATCGGCCCCGTACGATTGATACGGTTCAGTTCTCATTGGGCTGGGGGGCGCGGAAGGCTATATGTCGCGGCATCGCCCCGTGCACAAGTGCTTTCTAGCCGAGACTAGACAGAAATAGGGAGAGAGAGAGAGAGAGAGCGAGAGGAAACACAAACAAAACAACGAGAGAGAAAGAGAGAGAGAGAGATATATATATATATATATATAGACACATGCAGCAAAAAGAAGGCAAACGAGAGAGAGAGAGAGAGAGGAGGGATGGACGGGGGGGAAATCTCCAGCCTCGACGCGCTCAGAGCAGCTCGCTCCGCCAGACGCCGCCGCCTCCCGCGCGAGGCGTCCGCGGGCGCCCTGCACCGGGCGGAGTCGGCCCTGCGGGAGGCGCCGCCGCCGCGCCGTGCGGATCGGCCCGGGTGGGGGAGGGCGACCGGGCGCTGTCGGCGGCAATCCATCTAGGCCTCCTAGATGGGGTCCGAGTAGATGGGGTCGGAGGATCGCGCCGCATCGCCGATGCATCGCCGATGCGATTCGATGCGGAGCACGATTGCGAAGGCCTGACGGCCGGTGCCGCCGACCCTGTTCGCAATGCGCAGCAAGAGGCACGGGCTGTGGGATGGTTTTGGGGAACGGGGAGAAGGACGAGAAGGTGGGGGAGGGAGGTGTCGTATCTGACCCGGGACTTCCCCGGGACTCCCCCGGGACCCCCCCCGGGACCCCCTCTCCCTCCCCCGGCGGGGAAGGGAAAGGGAAGGGGCTTCCCTTCGACTCAATTACGACGTTGCTCAAGGTCGGTACGGGGGGGGGGCGTCGTATCTGACCTGGGGGGGGGGTCGCTACCGCCCCCCGCTACCCCCCCCTCGCCTCCCGGCGGGGGAGGGATCAAAGGGAAGGGGCTTCCCTTCGACTCAATTACGAGGTTGCTCAAGGTCGGCTTGGCTGGAGCCCAGGGGAAGAGGAGTCCCAGGGGGGGGCGTCGTATCTGACCCGGGGGGGGGGTCGCTACCCCCCCCCCCCTCCCGGCGGGGGAGGGATCAAAGGGAAGGGGCTTCCCTTCGACTCAATTACGAGGTTGCTCAAGGTCGGCTTGGCTGGAGCCCAGGGGAAGAGGAGTCCCAGGGGGGGGCGTCGTATCTGACCCGGGGGGGGGGTCGCTACCCCCCCCCCCCTCCCGGCGGGGGAGGGATCAAAGGGAAGGAGCTTCCCTTCGACTCAATTACGAGGTTGCTCAAGGTCCCAGGGGGGGAGTCCCAGGGGGCGTCGTATCTGACCCGGGGGGGGGGTCCCCCCCCCCCTACCCCCCCCCCCCCCTCCCCGGGGGAGGGATCAAAGGGAAGGGGCTTCCCTTCGACTCAATTACGAGGTTGCTCAAGGTCGGCTTGGCTGGAGCCCAGGGGAAGAGGAGTCCCAGGGGGGGGCGTCGTATCTGACCCGGGGGGGGGGTCGGTACCCCCCCCCTACCCCCCCCCCCCCCCTCCCCCCCCCCCCCCCCTCCCGGCGGGGGAGGGATCAAAGGGAAGGGGCTTCCCTTCGACTCAATTACGAGGTTGCTCAAGGTCGGCTTGGCTGGAGCCCAGGGGAAGAGGAGTCCCAGGGAAAGGGAAGGACAGAGACGACGAGTACAAAGAATGACGGAGATGACGGCTCGAACGGAAAAGCCCTTCACACACGCCGACAGGGTCGGCGGATTTTCTTCACGCGGACGTCGCCGATGAGTCGCCGACGTCGCCAGTGCATGGCCGACGCATCGCCAATGCGTCGGCGATGCATCGCCGATGTATCGGCGATGCTGCGAGATCCTCCGACCCCATCTACTCGGACCCCATCTAAGAGGCCTCTAATCCAGCAGGCGGCGTCTGCGGCAATTTCTGCCCCCGCGCGCGCGTTGGATATGGCAGTCAGCACGGGCAAGAGTTCCAGCACCACTACCACGGGTAGGAGAGGAGGAAGTGAAGAGATAGTCCGGGGACGACGTTTCGATTATTTCTGAAGGTTTTATGTGTTTGGGCAATTTTCAGGTTTCTTCCAAAATCCGCCTGTAGGAGGAGATGCCCGACCTAAGGATGAGGATGATTCGCTCCAGACCGTTCCCAGGCCGTGCTGGAGCGCTCCGATGTGCCTGCGGCGCCACAGAAACATCCTCCAGGCCAGGCCTCTCTCAGAGCTTCGCGTTTTCTTGTGATCCGCAGTTGTCAGCATCGCACCTTGATTTCAGTAAGAACACACAATCACAGACACTCAAACATAGTCGACAAACATCGCCCCCAGACCATGTCTTGACTACTTTTGCTCCTCCTGTAGAGCGACATGCCCGGCTTAGCCCTGGTTGCAAGGTGCATGTCCATGGGCCCGCGGGCTGGCCTCCCCGGCCGCGACCCCACGGATGCCTGGCGATGTGTTGGTCGGGGGGCCCTTATGTGGAACGATCGCGCATTCTGAAGGGGCCCTGGGACACACTAATAAATACACACAAATAAAAGGATTCCCCATCTTGTCCCATATTTTTTGGGTTTCTGTCTTCCCCCCGCTTCCCACATTTTCCTATATTTTCCCATATTTCCCTGGGAATCGACGATTCATTGTGTCTGTGTGTTTCTTCCCCTCCTGACATTCGGAGGGGTACCCACTTTGGTCTCCAGACGGCGACGGCACGGATACGGGTATGTTCGGCGTTCGTGAACGGTTGGTCGGACGCCTCGGGGGTGGACAGCCTCCTACCCTGACACGTCGACTCGTGAATTGTCTGTCTTCGGTTCTCGAGAGGGCGCCGCGGCCGTCGTTTTCCAGGTTTGCGCCCGCCAGGTTTGGGCCCCAGGTCGTTTTCACTAAGCCACGTTTTACAAGAGGGAGGTCTGTCCATCTCCGAATGCCCCTCGATGGAAAGATCGCGCATCCATGGGCAATTATCCACCTCAGTTTCCGGACGGCGATGCCACTGATGTGGACGTGTTACCGACAAAAACGCCGCGAAAGTAAGTTGTTGGCGCTCCGCGCTGGTTTCTCGGACCTGCGCTGGGGACCCCCCCGCGGCGCTGGCGCGATCGGCGCGCCAGGGCCAGCGCGGGTCCAAGAAATCCGCGCGGAGCGCCAACGTTTTATGTGCATGGCGCTGTTTCTTCTTCGGTGTTCGGCGTTCGTGGACCGTGCCAGCGCAGCACTGCGTACGCCGAGGTGTCCCAGATCCGAACTGCAGCCGGAACCGGTCAACAAACGGCGACGGAATTGGGAAAAGAACGGCGTCGGAACCGGCAACAGAAACGGCAAAACGGAACCGGTAAAAAGCGGCCTTGTCGTTTCCAGGGCCCGTGAAGGAGTCGTGACATGCCAAGGTCTTTCGCCTCAGAGTGGGCGTCGCAGCACGGCAAGAGCATGAGAGCAGCGAGAGCGAGACTGGTCATGGCGGCGTGCCTGCAGGGATTTCGCCAGGGGGGCGGCCTGCTGAGGAGGCAGGGAGCTCCAGGCCCCCGAACGCGCCTCCAAGGGCATAGAAATAGATCAGGAGGGAAAAAAAGCCACAGACACAATTCATCGTCGATTCCACAGAAAATATAGGAAAATATGGAAGTGTGGGGGGGGAGACAGAAACCCAGAAAATATGGGAAAAAAGATGGGGAGTCCTGTCATTTGTGTGTATGTATTGGTGTGTCCTCGGGCCCCTTCGATAGAGGGGATCAGGGAGGCAGAGGTTTTGCCCTGCCCTGGGGGCGCCCCTGAGGCCTGCCGGAGCTCTCCTTCGACGCCCCCGAGCGCCTCCTGCGGCCCTCCGGGGCCGCCTTCGGGCCCTAGGTGTCCTCCTGCGCCCACAGTCAAGAGCCCCAGTAAGGACGCGCGATTTTGCTCAGGGTACCCGGGCCGGGCGAAAGGGGGGGATTGGAAAAGGGGGGGTTACGAAATCTGCTGCATGCAGCTGCTGCTTGGCGGCCTCACCGAAGGGCCAATTCCTCGATACATGGCCGCCTCCGGCGCCGGGAGGCGCCGGGAAAATCAGCTACGTGAGCTGATTCTCACCCCCCCCCCTTTGCTATCCCCCCCTTTCGCCCGACCCGAGGTACCCTTGCGTCCTTGCTCTTCCTTGCTCTTGCGTCCTTGGGGTGTTCGTCGTCCGCCGCCCCAGAAGTCCCAACTTCGGCTTCCAAGGGTCTTGCGTCCTTGCCGCGCGTCCTCAGTAGGGTGCTGGACTGTAGAGGGGATAGGGGGAGACAGAGGTTTGGCCTCTAAAGCCTGCCTGAACTCTCCTTCGACGCCCCCGGCGCCTCTTGCAGCCCTCTGGGGCCGTCTTGGGTGGGGTCTAGGTGTCCTCCTGCTCCTATTCATCTTGCCTCTTCCGCCCCCTCTTTGGGAGGGGGAGAGGGACGGGAGGAGGGGCGGGAGGGGAGGAGGCAGGAGGGAGCTGGAGGGCAGTTCAGCCACGATCGAGAGCCTCGGATGCACCCCGGGGCATTCGGCTGCCCAGCAGAGCTGGCTGACTTCGCTAGGCAAGGGTGGGAGGGGCGTCCTGCTGTGGGCGCTCCGTCGGACGGATGCTCGGCGCGCGTGCCCCCTCATCGAGTGGTAGGTTTAAGTCGGGCCTGTCCCCCTACAGGGGGATTTTCGACGAAAAATAAAACATACCCCAAACATAGTCTAAACATAGTCTAAAAATAGTCTGGGGACTATGTTTGGAGTATTTGTTTGCCTTTTTTGACTATTTGTGGGTTTTTCGAAAATCCTCCTGTAGAGAGACACGCTCGACATAGTGGTAGGTGGGGCGACGCAGAGACTGAGGTGAAGGGGAGGAACAGGCCAGGGAGGTTACGAGGAGGAGGGGGAAACATATGCAGATGCGGAGCGGTGGGGCGGGGAGGAGACATTTGGAACGGGGCGGCAGGGCAGACAAATGTGGCCCCCTTGCGCAAACTGGTGAGGGGGGAGGGGGGAGTCAGTGCAGGGGTGGGGAGCCTCATGGGGAGGAGGCGCAGGGTGAGGAAGGCCAGTTGGAGGGCCAGTTGAGCCCAGCAGTGTGAGGGAGGAGGTGGGGCAAGAGGGGCCTGGCGAGGGGGACCAGGGGCGCCTTGCTGGGCGCGTGAGGGTCCTAGGTTTAAGTCGGGCCTGTCTCTCTACAGGAGGAATATTCAGAAATAGTGAAAAATAAACTGGTGGCGATTTTTGTATATTTTTGAGCATTTGGGGGTATTTTATAAGTATGTTAAATGTTTCGCTCAAGATCCCCCTGTAGGGAGACAGGCCCGACCTAACCCTAGCTGATCGACGATCACGTGATCAAGCCATGGGAGCATGGGCCGAGAGGAGTGTTTGTGGAATGGGGGCGGAATCCTGCAACGACGCGGGGCAGGCCCTCGACACAGGGTTCCCAGTTTTGCCCGAACGCAGAGCCGATGGGCAGGAGGCCGCCAGCACGGGCACGGGCACCCGCGCAACCTCCTGGATGGACCTCCCGCCCCGGCTTGGTCGCACCCGCCTGGCGTACAGGGGGGGGGGGCGGCAGCTACCGCACCCAACCGTTACAGGTCGACAACTGGTCGAGGGGGAGGCAAGCCTAATCTACAGATTGGGCAAGCACTTGGTTACCCCAAGCTGCTTCTCCTACAGGTAGAACGAGCACTTGCTTACCCCTCTGGTACGAGCGGCTGCTTCTACAGGTAGAGCAAGCACCTGTTTACTCCCGCCCTCCTCGTCAAAACACATACGACCACCGGGGGTAGCCACGTACAGCCTGTACGTGCTTGCCCCCAGCGGGTACCTCAGGGCAAATTTGCTTTTACAGGTAGAAGCTCTACCCGTTTACTTGGAAGCCGCGTCTTACTTGTTGACCCATCGGCGGGCATGGTGGCTGAGTGCCCCAGGGCGCGCACGGCCTGATTACTTGGCTGGTGTATCACGTGCGCCGTGCATTCACTCCAGGGGCGGCGACCTGGGGGAACAAGTGATGCCCGCCCCCTGCCTTCAAGCATCAGCGATTGTCGCCGGGAAAAAAAGAGAAGCAGAGGGCGACGAGAAAGCGGAGAGGACGAAATTGGGGAGGGGGAGCATTTATATTCGGGCAAGGAGGGGGAGGGCGGAGGAGGAGGAGGAGGAGGACGAGGAGGACGAGGAGGAGGAAGAGGAGGAGGAGGAGGAGGAGGAGGAGGAGGAGGAAGGGGGAGGGGGAGGGGGGGGGGGGGAGGGGCAGGGGGATGGGGAAGGGAAGGACAAGGAGAAGATGATGATGATGATGATGATGATGATGATGATGATGATGATGATGATGATGATGATGATGATGCTGATGCTGATGATGATGATGATGATGATGATGATGATGATGATGATGATGATGATGATGATGATGATGATGATGATGATGATGATGATGATGATGATGATGATGATGATGATGAGGAGGACGAGGAGGAGGAGGGAGGAGGAGGAGGGAGGGAGGAGGAGGAGGAGGAGGAGGAGGGGAGGAGGAGGAGGAGGAGGAGGGGGGGGAGGAGGAGGAGGGGGGGGGGGAGGAGGAGGATCCAAGGCGGAAAAAGGTGTAGATGCCACCGATCCCCTTTGGGGGGTAATGTCACGAGCGCTGGGTCGTGCCTTTTGCGTGCCATTTGGGCCCCGTTCGCGCGCGTTGCTGGCGCGTGCTCGTCTTTTCCATCTCTACAGCCCCCGCCCGCTCCCGCCCGTCTGTCTTCCTTTCCCGCCGCTGTTTTCCGCACACCTCTTTTCATCCTTCCGCTCCCCTTGTTGCTGTGTTGGTTCGCACCCATCACGGACCGTGACCGATGTCGAAGTGTTCCGAATTGCGACGCGAAGAAAAAAAAACGACGATCCGCGTTGCGCAGTCCAGACGCTGAGCTTGAGACGGGCCGTTTCAGATATACTGTTTGGCGGTTTTTCGACGGGCGTCCGGAGTCAAATGCCATTCCAGGATTGCGTATATTGCAATGGTTTTCGCCAGTGCCGCTGGTCCGGGGGGGGCTGGATGTTTGTGCGACAAAGCAATGTGCAGGCGGCAGCGGATTCCTTCGTTCTCGCCCTTTTACCCTGCCACCTTCTTGTTTTGGGGGCTGTTTCTTTTCAAAGGGGGAGAGCTGGGCTGGGGCCATTCGGGCGTTATCGAAGACGCCTACGGCGAATCACCGCCGCCCCCTGCCTTTTGGACTCGCCCATGTGGCCGAGCGTTGTGTCGAGAGCTCTGTTGAGCTAGCGAACCATGTGTTCCCCCAGCCGTTGTGGAAACCTTTTGGGGAACACTTGGGGAAGGACGGCAGGGAAGATCAGGAGGAGGAGGAGGATGAGGAAGAAGAATCAGAGAAAGAGCAGGAAGAGGAGGAGGAAGAGGAGGAGGAGGCGGAGGAGGAGGGGGCGTCTTGGAAGCTTCTGGGAGCACTCTGGGGGCCTCCTGGTAGCTTCCTGGGAGCTTCCTGGGAGTCTCTTGGAGGCATCTTGGGGGCCTCCTTGGGCCTCATAGGAGCTTTTGGGGCTTCTGGAGGGCCTCTCTTCTCTGGCCGTCCTACGGCATTTTTGGCCAGTCCGACGCCGTCGGAAGCCGTGTTGGGGGCCTCTCTGGGCCGACTTGGGGCCTTCTTGGAATACTCCAGGGCCTTATTGGAGGCCATCTTGGGCACCTTGGGGGCCTCTTGGGCCGCCTTGAGGCCCTCTTGGGGCCGTCTTGGATGCTTCTTGGGCCGTCATGAGGTCATCTTGAGGCCTTCGGGGCCATCTTGGGGCGATTACGGGGGCCTCTTGGGCTGTCTTTGGCTGTCGGAAGGCCGAAAAGAAGCAAATGCCATAGTAATTCAACAACCAATGGAAACTCACTGATTTTGGCCTCCTCGGGCCTTCCTGGAGGCCCTCTTGGAGGCCTCTTGGGGCGTCTTGGAGACCTCTTGGGGGCCTCTTGGGCCGTTTAGGGCCATCTTTGAGCCATCCTGGGCCGTCTTGGGGGCCTCTCGGGGCCGACTTGGTGCCCTCGTGGGTGCTCGAGGGCCGACTTGGATGCCACCTTGGGCGTCTTGGAGGCCTCTTGGGCCGCCTGGTGGCCCTCTGGGGACGACGTCTTGGGGGCCTCTTGGGCCGTTCTGGGGCCATCTTGGAAGTCGTCTCGGGCCGTCGCAAGGCAGAAAAACACAGCTTGTTGACAATCAATGATGTTGGCCTCGTCGGGCCTTCCTGGAGGCCCTGTTGGAGGCCTCATGGGCGGTCTTGGAGACCTCTTGGGGGCCTCTTGGGCCGTTTAGGGCCATCTTGGATCCGTCGTTGTCCATCTTGGAGGCTTCTTGGGCGGACTTAGAAGTTTCTTGGGCCGTCTTGGAGGCCATCTTGAACCATCTTGGGCGAACTTGGAGGCCTCTTGGGGCCGTCTTGGAGGCTTCTCGGGCCGCAGGTCAGATTGGAGGCATTCGGGGCCGTCTTTGGCTGTCGGAAGGCCGAAAAGAAGCAAATGCCAAAATCATTCAAAAACCAAAGGGAAATCAATGATGTTGGCATCTTCGGGCCCTCCTGGAGGACGTCTTTGGGGCGTCACGGGAGCCTCTTGGGCCGTCTTGGGCCATCCTGGAGGCTTCTTGGGCGGACTCAGAGGCATCTTGGAGCCATCTTGGGCCGTCTGGGTGGCTTCTTCGGCGGACTTGGAGGCAACTTGGACCATCTTGGGCCATTTTGGAGGCCATCTTGGGTCAACGTGACCATCTCAGAAATTATCTTGAGCCGTCTTTGAGATTTTTGTGGACGTTGTGTTCGTCTGGGAGCCTTCCAAGTGACCGGCGCACTGGGCCTGAGCCCCAGGGGAGAGTTTTGTTTGAAAAGAACCAAAACCAAACCAGTAGGATGTAGCACGCCGGGCACCCCTGTGACAAAACCACAGGGGGCGGCGGACCGAGTGGCCTTCCGCACATTCCGCCACCGTGCTTGGGTTGTGGTGATAATAAAGCCTTTGAGATGTTCGTGGGGATGTCGTGAGAGGGCTTTGGTTTTTTGGGGGAGGGGAGGCAGCTTTGAAGCCTACTGGGCGGGGATAATTTTGGGCGGAAGGCTGGATTGATCAGTTCGGGCGTCCCTTCTTGGGCCTCTCTTGACGCTGTCTTGGGGTTCTCTTGGGCCGCCTCGGGCGCTTATTGGGCAGTTTCGGGACTCTCTTTGGGCGTCTTGGGGCGGTGTGCTGGCGTCTCTGGGACTGTGTCGGGAACGTTTAATTCGTCTTGGACGTCGTGAAGGCCGAGTAAATGCTACAAATGCAGATTCGCCCAGGGAAATTGAATGGAGTCTGCCTCTTGGCGCCCTCTTGGGGGTTCTGTTGGGGCCTCTTGGGACGTTTTGGGCGCTTTTGCGGCCGACTGGATGCTATCCTTGGGCGGCTGGGCCCGACCGTTCAGCGATTATGTAGGGCCTCAGAGGTCCTGAATTGTACATTCTGAAGTGTCCAAGGCCCCCCAAGAGAGCGGAGCAACGCGGAGCACAGGCGCAGCATCGGGGTCCCCCCCCACCCCCCTTTCCTCAGCAGAGCCACCCAGGCACCCCCCCCAGCAGAGTTGATGCTCATGCTCTCGGTTGCGCATAGGCTTCTTGAACCTCACACGCCGGATCGGCGATGTCGAAGGCCATTCCAGGAACACATATAGCTCTTTAGCTGTCAGCGCGGGTCGCGGTTGGAATGTGTGGTTTGGCGGTGCAACACTAACGGATAACGTCCAATTGCGACGGAGGCCGATCAAGTATTTCCAGAGACCCGCGCAAACAAGTCGCTCGGCGGGTGCCAGACGCCGTCAACGTACACACGTGATGTGCCCGGCGAAATTGTATGCTTCACCACCACCAACAGGCTGCGATGATTGCCCTTGGCATCGCTCGGACGTGTGCATTTTTCCTTCGGCGAGGACCATCGAGGAGCATCCTCGATCATTTGGCGAAAAAAACACGCACGAAACCGAACAAAAACACAGGGAATGGACGTCCGAGCGATGGCGAGTGCCCCCTTGTCGCCTCCAAGGAGGGAGGAGATCCAGGCCGCGTTTGTGATCGCCTCCCCCCCCCCGCCTGTGCCACAGGCGCAGGCGCAGAGCGCCGCGGCGCAGGATGCGCAGGCGGCTGCCGAGGCCGCCGCGGCCGAGTCGGCCAAGGAACGCCGCCCTTGCGGTGCGTCCATGGTGCCGACGCAGCCGCTTCGACCCCGCCTCACTCTTTAGCATCGCTCGGACGTGTGCATTTTTCCCTCGGCGAGGACCATCGAGGAGCATCCTTGACCATTTGGCAAAAAAAGAACACGCACGAAACCGAAAAAAGCACAGGGAATGGACGTCCGAGCGATGGCGAGAGCAACACCGCCCCAGCGGTGCGTCCATGGTTCCGACGAAGCCGCTTCGACCCCGCCTCACTCAGCCTCCTTCTTCTTCCTCCTTCGGCTTCTTCTTCCCCCTCGTCGGCTTCTGTTCCAGTGTTGCTCCCGACTACCGTTTCGCATGCTGCGCTTGGTCGTTGTCTTCCTCCTCCTCGTTCCTCCTCCTCCTCCTTCCTCGTCCTTTTCGTCTCGCTGGGCTCCCCATTTCCGATCGTGCATTACGCGATATGTCCTGTTTTGGGAGTTCCAGGCCCGTCATGACAAGCGTCCGCAGGTAAAGGAACTATCAGCGGGATGGGAAGGCATGGGTGGAAGGAGTACAGTCGGCCGAGATTAGTAGGTCGACACTGCCAAATCAAGGGTACTCTTGTGTCCTTTGTCTCGCGGCCCATGCTTCCTACATTCCTGTGGCCATGTGGCCCTCGGAAGGGTCTTGTGTCCTCTCGCGTGTCCTGTCCAATCGAGTCCGACTGTAGGATGTCATAGATGCTGCGAGCGCAGCAAGCTTGCCCCCCCTGTCGTTTTCCTCCTCCGGTCCTCCCCCCACCCTCCTCATCTGGTCTTCCTCCACTGCTTCGATGACTGGGGGGCCTCCAAACGGCGTGGTGACCACACCGTGTGGTGAGTCGGTGGGGATTCGGGGTCACCGCACGGTTTTGGGACTCGAGTCCCTCTCCGAGGATGTCTCGGGCGACAGGGGCCTCCTGGGGCCCAAAACCGTGCGGTGACGGGCCGTGCGGTGAGGTCTTGGGGGATTTTGAGGTCACCGCACGTCACCGCACCATTGCGGGACTCCAAGAAGACATCCGACGCTTCGAACGAAACCCGAGGCGGCCGCCATGTTTGGATCCCCGAGGCTGCTCTCGGCCCCAGGACGGTCCAGAAGTCAGCCAGGATGCAAAGTCAGACGTGGGATCTAGCTCGAGGAGCATCGAGCGAGTCGAAGGACCAGATGATTGCGGGCATCGGGTGCTGCGGTATCTGGGCAGTTTTGTCTGTTGCTCCGCGGAAGGCGTCTCGCCGCCCCGGTCGAGTCTGGCCAAGAAGACCTCCTGTTTCCCCCCCACCCCTCTCTCAAGCAGTGGCGAAGCGTCCCGGCTCGCCTATAGCCCCACCAAACAATGTTCTAAGAACCTTTTGTGGTTCCCACGAAATGTTCTTAGAACATTTCTGGCTGGGACTGTCTTGTTTTAACACATCGGGGTTATGCTCTGAGAACATTGTTTGTGTTCTTGGAACATTTTGGGGTTCTAAGAACATTCCGTGATATGACTATAGGAATGCCGGGACGGTCGGTCCATGCTCAACTCTCAGCCAGCGACGGGATCGAGCAAGATCGCGCCGGAGGTTCCTCGATCCATATCTGTCGCCGGGGGGGGCCTGGCCCGCCTCGGGCCCGAGGACGGTCGGAGACGAGGCGGGATGACAGGCGGGCCCCCGCGGCTCTGGGGCGCGTTTCTGCCTCGGCCCCCCCCTGCTGCCCCTGCGCCAGAGGGCGAGGCCCCAGGTCCGAGGGCGGAGGTGGGCGGTTCCCGAGATCCGATGTCGCGCCGCATCGCGGCATCGCTCGGACGTGTGCATTTTTTTCGACGAGAACCATCGAGGACCATTCTGGACCATCGAGCAAAAAAAAACACGCACGAAACCGAAAAATACACGGGTCATGGACGTCCGAGCGACGGCAAGATGTTGATGCGTCGTGGCTCTAGCACAAAAAGTCCAACGCCAGCTGGAGGTGAGCGCGTGCGTCCCCCCGAGTAGCGGGGGAAACCGTTGGTTGGACGTTCGCCCAGCAGCGTCGGCAAGCAAAGCCCTACCGACGCGGTCCCCGGACGTCTCGACCCCTTCCCCTGGACCCGTGTTTCATCCTGCGCCTTTTTTGTTCACGGCCCCGAGGCCCGGCGAGGGCCCCCAGGGGCCGAAATCTGCAAAACAAATCCGTCTTGAGTTTTTCAATACGTTGTCAATCTGGGAAGCAATTGTCAAACAATATGGCCTTGCCATCGACCCCATATTTGCTCAGGCGTAATATACGATTGCCGCTGATCCTGCGCGGCAAGGATTTGTTTCCCCTGCTGAGCCGATGTGTCGTGCGACATGGCTTGCGAACGAACGAACCGAACGAGCGTTGGATCTCCGGGTTTGGGGCGGCGGGGCGGAGGAGGGCCTCCGGGCCCTGGGCCTCCCCACCCCGGGCTCGCGCCGGCGCGCCTCCTGCCGCCTCGGCCCGCCTGCCTGCCCTCTTGCCCTCCGTCCGTGCGGCACGTCCTTCCTCCTGCTGCTCTGCCGGGCTCCCCCCTGCCTCCCTCCCGCTCCCCCTCCCTCCCTTCCCTCCTCCTTGGCATCGCTCGGACGGGTGCATTTTTCCTTCGGCGAGGACCATCGAGCATCATCCTGGATCATCGAGCAAAAAAAAGCACGCACGAAACCGAACAATGCATGGTCTCCTCATTCCATGCTAGGGGAACAAAAAGTGACATGGACATGAACACTCGGAGGTCCGCGCGGCTTTCTCGGATCGGCGCTGGGGCCCCCCGGCGGCGCCTCCGGCGCCGCCCCTGGCGCGCTCCGCGCGCCAGGGATGGGGGTCCAGCGCCGATCCGAGAAATCCGCGCGGGCCTCCGAGTTGTTACGTTTATGCCACTTGTTGTTCCCCTAATCCTCTGGTCTCCTCGTTCCGTGCGCCCATCTCTTCCTCCTCCTCCTCCTCCCTCCTGCCTCTCTCGTCCCCGCGACGTTCCCCAGTCTCCTCCACCCGTGCCCTCCCTCCTCGCCCCTGTCCTCTCCCGCCATGCCCGACGTCTGTCTCCACCCTCCTTGATCCCTGCCTCCTCCTCGCCCTTCCCCCAGACTGTGCCATTAAGGCCGAGTTTGTGAGCCCTCCGGCAGTTCCTCACGCGTTTCTCGTCAGGTGGCCTCCTGCTCACCGACTTCCCCGCTGCGCTTCCTAGCATTGTCTTTGGGTGGGTGGTGTATAAATTACCTGCATGGTGGGTCACCTAGCGATGTCATGCTTATTGGAGCAAATCTACCGATCTGGTGAGGTTATCGGCACCTTTGGTGGCTTCAATTGGTAGCGTATCGTCATCCAAGGCAATCCAGCATCTATGGGTGGTTGCGCATTACCTTAACTTGATTATGACAAGGTTCGCGCACTCGCACACTTCCAAAGTTCAATTCAGCGCGGCTTCGTGGATACCATGGTCTACGGCTTAACTGACATGTCTCGTGATCGATTGTATGTTTGGGGATGCGTGATCGGCCTGTTCTTGAATAAGAGTAAGTATGCAGCATGTGTTGTTAGGAAATGAGGTCATCGTGGATGTATTGCCGAAGGCGCCGCCTCCCTCCTTGGGCCGCCGTGCGATGTCCTGAATCCTTCCTCGTTTCTGGCAGCAGCTTTGTGATATCCGACACTTGGTCCGCGGCTGACACATCAGCACATGCTTGTTCAATTCACACACGCTCTCTCCCACTATCACGCGCTGTCTTCCGTCACTTAAACCCTTCAGCTGGAGCAGCCTTCAGAGCACATCGCCAAGGCTGGCTGACATGTTCGCGTGATCCTTCTTGCAGGTCATGATACATATGTTCTTGACATTATGGTGTCGAGGTTACGTTGTATGCGGCTAGCAGTGGAACGTGTCGATGCGCAGGGTTGGGGACCTGCTGCACCCTACCGCACTAAGCGCCCTGTCGTTGCTTATGCTGTCTCTGAGCGCGGATATCATTCCCTGATGGATGTTGTCGAAAGTATCGTGTCAAATGGATGCGGGGAAACCGGACAGGTTGTGGGAAGTTTCCATGTTGACGGTATTCTTAAACATGCCATTCCTACACCCTATGCCTTGCTTCTCCCCGAATGTGTCTATGTAAGTTTACCTGTCCCGATGCCTCTTCTTTGATCCCCCGCCCATTTTATTCCACAGGTGCCAAACCAACATGTCTGGGAATTCCGGAGATTCAGATAGGTGATCGTGGAGCTCCTTAATTTTTGGTGAGGCCCCAGGACCTTCCGGGAACCTCCAGAATTTCGGCGTTCCCCTATGATTCGTACAGGTCTTTATTTCTTTCTTGGACGGGGTACGGGGCATTTTTAGGGGAGGCGCCCTGGGACTTGCCAGAGCATCTACAACAGCCAGCTTTCTCCAAGAATGCAATTCATGGTTTTCCCTTGCTTCCACCATGAAACCATGAATTGCATTCTTGGTGAAGGCACCCCGGAACCTCCTGGGGGGGACTTGTGCTTGATATGGCACTGGCACTTCCCATTCTTGGCGAGCGGGGCCGAAACCTCCAGACCCTCGGCAGCTAAAAATGCACCAGGCAAGAAACCCATGGGAGCTCGAACTTTCAGATCACTGGATACTTTAATTTTCAGAACCACCAGTGTGAAAGAACAGGCATCGGAGCAGGTAAAGATAATGTGCAAGGTCGATAGTTTTGCCCCCCTGTTTTCCCAGCAGTAAAACTCGTCCCTTCTCTCTCTCCTGCTCCTCCTCCTCGTCTTCCTGCTTCGGGTTGTCCTGCATTTCAGTTACTACTGCTACTGCAACTGCTACTGCTGCTACTGCAATTACTTCTGCTGCTGCTACTACGACGACTACTACGACTACTATGACTTACTACTTACTTACTCTATACTACTACTACTACTGTACTACTACTACTACTACTGCTACTACTACTACTGCTACTGCTACTACTGCTACTACTGCTACGACTACTACTACTACTACGACTACGCTACTACTACTACTACTACTACTACTACTACTACTACTACACTACTACTACGACTACTACTACTACTACTTCTTCTTCTTCTACTATTACTTCTACTACTACTCTACGACTACTACTACTACTACTACAACTACTACGACGACGTACTACTACTACTACTACTACTACTACTACCACCACTACAACTACAACTACAACTACACTACTACTACTACTACTACTACTACTACTACTACTACTACTACTACTACTACTACTACTACTTCTTCGAGTACTACTATTACGACGACGACGACGACGACGACGACGACGACGACGACGACGACGACTACTACTACTACTACTACTAGTACGACTACTACTACTACTACTACTACTACTACTACTACTACTACGACTACGACTACGACTACGACTACGACTACGACCACTACTACTCTACTACTACTACTACTACTACTACTACTACTACTACTACTACTACTACTATCACGGGCACGGGCGGGTCGCACGCGGGGCTCGGCACTCCCGAAAGGAGTCGGGCCTCGTTGTCAGTGGTGCAACGCAACGGCGACGGATCTGCACGAACGACGCATCGCCGATGTGTCGGCGATGCGGCGAGATCCTCCGGCCCCATCAGTTCGGACCCCCAACCCAACTCAACCCAACCCTAACGCCGCAGTTTGCCCTCCATTTCCAATGTGGGGGGGTCGGGGAACACTGACGACACACATCTGGAGCCCGTGTCCCCCCCAACCCGAAATTCGGGTCTTCGGACTGGGTTGGGGTGGTCTGGTATCTGCACGAACGAAATGAGTACGGAACGAATGGGCACAATGCCCAACAGCAGTTCCTGTTCATTTTGAACAGGACTCGCTGTCCGCGCCGCCGCGGCCCGTGGCCATTTGAGACAGAAGGCCGCCTGCCCAACAGCGGCAACTGTTGGTCTGGGACAACATTTGTTGTTGGGCATTGTGCCCATTCTTTCCGTGCCCATTTCGGGCGTCCAAAACGGGGCCACCTGTAGCCTCTTCCTTTGGAGCTGTTGGGGCCACTCTCCCGCAGACCACACAAGCTGGGGGACGCGCGGGGTTTGTCGCGCGCTCCGAGAGGCCACCGCGGAGCCCACTGGAGCCTGAGTCGATTGCAAGGCTGTTTTAGACCAGCTTGCCATGCCGCTACCACAGCGTTTGCGTGGCAAGCTCAAATACTCAGGCCTACAGGGGTTGCTCTAGCATCTGACAGTCGGCGATTCTTGGCCGAGGCCTTGCAGGCTCAGAGTCATCAGGGCCCTTCGCTGCTGGCCGGAGGGGCCAGCATCCTAGCGGAGATCCACAGGTCCCTCTGGCAGAATGGCCGAAGAAGCTTTGGCGCAGTGCCACGCTTCCTTCGACCACTCTACCGCCGAGGATTATGATGTTCTAGCCTACTTTAGCCTTGACCACCAGAAAGAATTTCGAGCGCCAGTACCGAAACTCGAGGGTTTCCACGTGTCGGGCCCTGGGAGGCACTCGTCCCACACCGTTTCGACACTGTTTCGACACTCCGCTGGGTGCTCCAAATTATTTCTGGGACGTGGTCCTTCACTACGATGGGAGCAACATAAGCCGAGGAGCTGAAAGAGGCCGTTAGAAATTCGCGATCAGCTGCCAAGTTCGCGCCTCGCGTCCTCGCGCTCGCCCAGCGGAGCCGCCGTCGAAGTGAAAAAGCGAGGCTGCCGCGCAGGAGCCCACCGGGCAAGGCCGCCGTCGCCCGCGAGCGCGAGTGCTGTCAGCCCCTGTGCTCAGCTTTCGGGCAGGGCCACGGGATAATTGACACATCTCTTCGGATGCAACTCCTGGGAGGTCAAATTCTGTTTCGCTCTGGTCCGAAATCCCTCTGAACCCGGATTAATCCCGTTGAATCCGGCTTAATCCCGCTTAATCCGGCTAAAGCCCGCTTAATCCGAGGCCCATTCCGGCATAACAGCTCCCAAATGGGGCTTAATCCTCCTGAATCCGCCCGGCGAAAACCTCCCAGTAGTTGCCTCCTGACCAGATGGCAGTTGGGAGCACGGTCGATGCTCCGCGTTTTTTTTGCTTGCCTGCGTTGTGTCTCTAAGTCTCAGCTCGTGGTGAAGAGGTTGGCCGCTCTCGGGCCGACATCTTCGGAGAGCTGCTGGCATGTCTGACAACCCTCAGCGGCACAACGCCGAGGCGACGGCGCGCGAAGCAGCGTGTCGCTTTTCCTGTGCAAGTCCCTCCTGTACGTGCTCAGACGTCAACGGCGAGTTCCAGGGGAGTTTCCCGCCCGCTCCGAGCGGCCAGCGCTTTGAGGGTTGGTGAGGACAATGCCCTTCATGTCCCTGAAGCCGGCCACGGAGAGGACGAATCTGGCTCGTGTGACTAGCCAGAGTCTACAGGCCTGCTATGATAGCAGAGGGCCTTACGGGGGAAAAACAATAACTCTCCTCTGCCATCCCTCTGCTCCTCCGATCTGCTCGGCCCGTCGCTCGCCGCCCGCGAGGAGGCCGCCGAGGCTCGCGCGGTCGCCGAGCGCCAGCGGCAAGAGGACGGACGACGACGACGACGCCGACGCCGACGCTGACGCCGCCGTCGTCGTCGTCGTCGTCGTCGTCGTCGTCGTCGTCGTCGTCATCGTCGTCTTCGTCGTCGTCGTCGTTGTTTCGGCAGTTGTTTGGCGCCCCTAGGGGTTCTAGTCGACACGATTGGGCGCGGTTCGAGACACAAGCCAAGGAGAACCTCGGGATTTTTCTGGGGACCAGGTCTGAACGGCTTTTGCACGACGGCGGCGGCGACGGCGACGTCCAAGTTGTCTTCATAGTATTTTGCAGGTTTAGAGCCGTCGGGGGGGTGCCCTAGGAAGCTTGCAAGGACCTTTGGCGGCGGGGACAATTTCATCCCACCGTGTGTCATTGCGGCCGTGCCCCGCGCCCCCACCATGGCTTTTGACATAATGCCCAGCTTCAGACGTCGATCGGAACTTTCCCGGAGGCCCCCGAGGTCAAGCAAGGCAAGGAGGAGACGGAAAGGCAGGTTTAGGGCCGTCGTCATCACGCCAGCCCTTTTGAGAGGGCCGTCGTCATCACGGCTGGATGCGCCTCTCAGTCGTGGTCAGAACGCGTTTCAGGACAGGTGTTGCTTTTGGTAGAGATCGGCCGGAAACTCGTCGACCCCATGCCTCGGAAGTTTCTGTTCGGCGGAAGCCGCCGAGGCCCATTGCTCCAGATGTCTTCGGCGGTGTTCGGGAGATGATCGAGGCCGCTTTTCGGAGCTCGGCTAGGGCTCGACAGAGGCTTCAAGTCGGCGGCATGTTCTACCCGGACCGGCCTCCTCAAGGGCCGCGCTCGGGCACAGGAGCCATTGGGGGAGATGGCGTCCGTTTTGCCATGTTGGCCTCCGCGAGGCGGTCTCCGGCTCCGTGGGGCCCGCACAGCACGTCACCCGTCACGTCGCACCAGAGCTTCGGCGCGCGCGAGAGGCGGTCGCGCATCCTCGCGGCAGCTGCGCAGGCTTTCGGCAGTTCCCGGACTGCGGGCGGCAACAGCGGGGTGAGGGGCGAGGCCGGAGGAGGAGGAGGAGGAGGGGGGGGGGATAGGAGAAGACAGGGGCGGAAGGAGAGGGCGGGTGGCGTCGGGCCTCCTCGGGGCGCAGCGGAGAGCTCTGCTGAGGTCCTCGCCCGCCCCCCGGGGTGCCCTTCAGGGTGCCGTATGCAAACCACGCCCTTTGCAAACCCCACCCTTCGGAGTCGCCGATCGTGGGAGCAGGAGGATGAGGGGGGGGGCAGGGCGACGGTTATGATCTTGGCTCATCTCAAAACCACCCTGGGTGATGTTTTGCTGGCGTTTTCTAGGTTGTTGTGTTGACAGGCAGAGGGCGCCAAAAACAGCGGTTCACGTGCTTCAGCGCATGCACAATCACATTAAACAAATCACGTGTTCTGTTCTGTCGCAATTTCAATGGATTGCACAGGGGGCTGAAATTGTCTTCCGTGCGCAGAGTTGCGAAAGGTAAACTTGGCATCGCTCGGACGTGTGCATTTTTCTTTCTGCGAGGACCATCGAGGAGCATCCTTGATCATTTGGCGAAAAAATACACCGCACTCACATCTATACCCCTGTGTGGGTGTATGTGCGGCCGTTTTTGCGCTGTCATGTGCGCGCATGTGCGCGGCATGTGCCAATCATGTGCCAGGCCTGTGCGGCCCTTCTTGGATGGACTTCCTACTGTGCACGTCGAGCCCGGGCATGTGCGGGGGCATGTGCGCTGTGTTTTGGTGTATCCATCATACGCACATGCACGCACAGTCCGACGCACATGCGCGCACATGCCTGCACATGCGGGAGGTATTCGAGAATCGCAGATCTGTCATCGGCACATGCACGCACATGCCTGCGCAACCTATCTTCGGGAGGCCGCGCGGGCCCGCACATGCACGCACATGCGGTGAGGCGCGCGGGCGCACATGCGTGCACATCCCAATGCACATGCACGCTCATGCCCTAGGAGCTGTCTGGGACCCCTGTGCCTCCAATGCCTCCTGGCCTTCGCAGAGCTAACCTGGGGCGTGCCAGGGCTTCCTGAAAGAGTTTGTTGTGCGTTTAGACTCGCCCGCTGCTGGCGGGGGTGGTTCTTCGCCCGGTTCGTGAGCTGGCGGTGGAGTGCCCTCCTAGTAAAATACTCTCCCGCGCGCCTTCTCAGCTCGGCCGGAGAAGCAGGGGTGGGGTGGGGGAGGTGGAGGGGGAGGGGGAAGGAGGGGGGGGCGGAGGAGGCGGGCGCCCCCGGCTCGGCCGGTCCGCCCGCCTGTTCGGTTCGGCCAGAGGAGGAGGAGGAGGAGGAGGAGGAGGAGGAGGAGGAGGAGGAGGAGGAGGAGGAGGAGGAGGAGGAGGAGGAGGTGAGAGTTGTGAGGATGTCTCAGGCGAAAGTGGCTTGACGGCCCGAGCTCAGGGAATCTCGGAATCGCTGGCCTGGCTCGGCCACTGGCGAGCTCGGCCTGTGCGAATACTGTGCGTACCTGTGCGGGGCATGTGCGGGACGTGCAAGAATGCCGGGGCCGACGTTCGTCTCCGGGCGCCGGCGCATTCGCGTCCGCGCGCAAGCCGCGCGCGGACGCAGCGTTCGCTTCATTGCGCGGCCCCGACAGGCGGGGCGCCCCGCTCACGCTCCGCACAGGCGCGGCTAGTGTCTCGGCCTTTTCCGCCTGAGACCCTCGCAACTCTGGGTTCCGAGATGCCCTGATCAGGTGGTCAGGCCACTCCTGCCTGAGACACCTCGCAACTCTGGGTTCCGGGACGCCCTGGGCTGAGGTGGTCAGACCACTCTCGCCAGAGACATCCTCGCAACTCTGACGTCAGAGATCTCTTGCCCCATGGTGGTCAGGCCACTTTCGCCTAAGACATCCTCGCAACTCAGACCTCGGAGGTGTCCTGCCCCATGGTCCATGGTGGTCTGGTCACCTTGACCAGCGACATCCTCGCCACTCTGGTTTCCAAGATACCCTGCCCCATGGTGGTCCTGCCACGCTTGCCTGAGACATCCTCGCAACTCTGGGTTGCGAAATGCCCCGAGCTCAGGTGGTCAGGCCACTATCGCCTGCGACATCTCTGCGGCATGTGCGGGCATGTGCGTCTACATGTGCGTCTATGCTTTCAGAGGTTTGCTTGGCCGTGCATTCGACTGTGCGTCCGACGGTGTGGCATGTGCGCGCATGTGCGGCAATGCTGTTGAGGTTTTTGTATATGTGCATGGGCATGTGCATGCGACTGTGCGGCATGTGCCTGCATGTGCGGCCCCTTCCGGACCGCAATTTCAAAGTGAGCACTATAGAAGTGAGCGCTATAGAAGTGAGTCCGGTGTACGCACGAAACCGGAAAAAGCACAGGGAATGGACTTCCGAGCGATGGCCAGTAAAACAAAACATGTTCTGAAGCCCACGGCCCAGTCTGCGGCGGGCTCCGACGATGGACACAGAAGCCCTGACAGCGCCAAGGCACCGGAGCGCTGCTTGATCGGTCCTGGTGTCTCTGCTGAGGCCTGGAGGCGCTAAGCACATACTCCAGATTTCGTAATAAAAGGGAGGAGGACACAACCCTCCAAGACAAGCCATTTCAGACCTCCCCCGTGGGAGAACCCTCCAAAACATCGTCCCCAGACCCCCAAGGCCCTCCAAGATAGCCTGGAAGAGACCCCCCCGAAATGAGACCCCCTCCCTTTATTACGAAATCTGGAGTAACTTCCACGACGCCGAGTTTAACGTGCTAAAACAGCACCCAGTGCATGTGTATGATGAACCAAGATAATGAGGAGGAGACAGAAGAAGGAGGAGGCAGGACGAGGGATGAGAAGGCAGAAGGAGGAGGCAGGGAGAGGGATGAGGAGGTGGGGTGAGGAGAAGGAGTTGTTGGGACCATGCTCAGGAACGCAACGTGACCGGGCGAAACTAGACGAGCACGAGGAGAAGAAAGAAGGGGGGGTGGAAGGTCCAGGGAGGAGGGGTAAGAGGAGGTGGGAGGGGGAGGACAGGTGGAATGTGGGAACAGGGAGGAGATTGGAAGGAGAAAAGGAACAGGAGGAGGAGGAGGATGTGAAAGGCAGAGCCATAATGAGAGCATGACAGACAAGGGAAGAGGAGGTGGAGGAGGGAGGAGGCCGGGGGATGGAAGGAGGGAGGAGGGAGGAGGATCCAAGGAGGGAGAAGGAGCAGGAGGACGATACAGGAGGATACGAAATGCAGCGAGGAGGAGGAGGAGGTGGAGGAGGAGGAGGAGGAGGAGCAGGAGGAGGAGGAGAAGAAGCAGGAGAAGGAGGAGGAGGAGCAGAAGGAGGAGAAGAAGTAGGAGAAGGAGGAGGAGGAGGAGGAGGAGCGAGGAGCGAGCAGGAGGAGGCGGGCGGAAGGAGGAGCACGACGACGAGGAGGGCATCCCTGACAGGGCGAGCAGCAGCTGGTGGAGCTGCAGAGGCAGCACGACGAGCAGGTCCGGGGCATGAAGGCCGCTGTCCTCCCTTCCTCCCATGCCTCCCCCCTTCCCCTCTCACCCCTTTTCCCCTCTCTCCCCCTCTCTCCTTCCCCTCCCCCCTTCCCGTCCCTCCCCCTCTCCCCTCCCCCTCTCCCCCTCTCCCCCTCTCCCTTCCCCTGCCCCCCTCTCTTCCTCCCATGCCTCCCCCTCTCCCATTCTCCCTTCCCCTCTCCCCCCTCCCTCCCCCTCTCTCCCTCTCCCTTCCCCTCCCCCTTCCCCTCCCCCTTCCCATCCCCTCTCTTCCTCCATGCCTCCCCCCTTCCCCTCCCTCCTCCTCTCCCCTTCTCTCCCTCTTCGCCCCCCCCCCCCCTTGTAAAGCTGAGGCTGCGGACGTGCCATCTGCTGTTGTCAGGGGAGGGGTGGGACGAGGACGACAACGACGACGACGACGACGACGACCACGACGACCACGACGACGACCACGACCACGACGACGACAACGACAACGACGATGACGACGACAACGACGACGACGACGACGACCACTACCACGACCACGACGACGACGACGACGACGACGACGACGACCACGAGGCGGTTCCTCCGGGACCCTCTGGATGACCCGGCCCTCGGTCCTCGGGTTGCGCGCGCCCCCCCGCGACCCTTCCCTCCCTCCCGGAGGCGCTGCGCCAGCGCGCGGAGGAGCTCGAGGACCAGCTGGAGGAGCCCTGCCGCCCACGGGGCGCGCCGAGCGCGTCGGAGGCCTCTGGTGGCGCTAAGGTGCGGTCACGGGGGGTCACTTTCGGGGGTGGACAGACCTCCTACCCTGACACGTCGATTAAGGAATTGGCCGCTTTCGGTTCGCGAGAGGGCGTCGCGGCCGTCATTTTTGCGGGTCCAGGTCCGTCGGTTTCGGTCCCAGGCCGTTTTCACTAAGGGGAGGTTTACTAAAGGGAGGTTTGTCCACCGCCGACTGGTGGCGCTATGGTGTGGTCACGGGGGATCACTTGGAGATCGTTCGCCCCCCCCTCCCTGCCCGCTGTGGTGGACAAGTAACGCCCAGGCCCCCGGGCCCCCCTGGCCTCGAGCGGGCCCCGGGCCCCGCGGGCCCATGTGCCCTGGGCCCCCCGGGCCCGGGGCCCGGGCCTTCGGATGCCAAGCACATGGGGCCCAGGTCCTTGGGGGCCCAGTTCATGATGCTCATGATCATGATGATGAGGATGATGAGGATGAGGATGAGGATGAGGATGAGGATGAGGATGGTGAGGATGAAGATGATGATGCTGTTGCTGATGATTATGATGATGATGGCGATGATGATGATGAGGAGGAGGAGGCGGATGATTATGATGGCGATGTTGATGATGCTGATGAAGATGATTATCATCACCATGAGGATGACGCGTTCGGTGATGATGACGATGGTGATGATGGCGATTGTGATTATTAGGATGATGTTGATGATGACAATGATGATGATGATGCTGATGCTGATGCTGACGGTGTTGATGCTGATTGTGGCGATGGTGATAATGATGATGCTGATACTGGTCATGGTGATGATGATAATGATGATGATCATGGTGATGATGATGATGATGATGATGATGATGCTTAGGATGCTGATGATGATCATGGTGATGATGATGATGGTGCTGACGATACTTACGATTACGATGATGACGATGCTGTGGATGAGGATGAGGACGAGGATTATGATGAGTATGAGGATGACGATGATGGTGATGATGATAATGCGTCTAGTGATGATGATGATCCTTATCAGGATTACTGATATTATGCTCATGATGCTGGTGGTGGTGATGATGATGGTGGCGGTGATGCTGATCATGGCGATGATGGTGATGGTGACGGTGATGGTGGTGATGGTGATGGTAGTGTTGATGATGTTGATGATGACGTCGTGATGATCATGGTGATGGTGATGGTGGTGTTGCAGTTGATGGTGCTGATGATGATGATGATGGTGATGATGAGCATCGCGATTAGTAGCATGATTAGGCCTGCGGGTTTTGGGTGGCCCGCTGATCCGCCAGAAGCGGAAGTAGCAATGCCGCGCCTCCGCATCGCCATCGCCATCGGTAGTGACCCCCCCCTTTTCATTATGAACTGCGGGGGGGGGAGGGGTTCGAACCGGTAGTGACCACCCCCGGTTTTCCGGAGGGGGGGGGGAGGGGTTCGAACCGGTAGTGACCCCCCGCCGGTTTTCCGCCAGTAGCGGTAGAACACGCTCTTTCATAGATAGAAACATACGTATAACATCAAGGATCAAGGATTCGTGCTCCAGGTGAGGCCCAATCTATAAGAGCAGCATGCGTAAAACACATGGGATTGGAGCCACTCCTGTTGCCTTCTGGAGGCCTCGTGCTCCTGGGGCCTCTCGGGGCCTCCTGTTGCCTTCCGAGGCCTCCTGGCGTTTCCTGTAGCCTCCTGGGGCCTCCTGTGGCTTCCTGAGGCCTCCTGGAGCCTCCTGGGGCCTCCTGGAGCCTCTTGGGACATCCTGTGGCCTCTTGAGTCTTTCTGTGGCCTCCTGATGCCTCCTGTGACCTCATGTGGTCTCCTGGGGCCTCCTGGAGCTTGTTGGAGCCTCCTGTGGCATCCTGAGGAGAATCTGTGCCCACGAGTCTGGCCACCAAAACAGGCAAACCGATCGAGACATCCTCAACATCTGGCCCACCTGGGGGGTGAAAATGAGCGCCTCGCTCGAGACATCCTCCAAATCTGCTCCGAAAGCGAAGGATGTTGGGACAGGAAACAGGCAAACCGCTTGAGACACCCCCACAAAACGGCCGCGAACGGGACCGTGCAATACCCCTCGGCGGCTTCCCTGAGGGGTGCTGAAACCGGCGCCCTGCCTGAGACATGCTCACAATCTGCTGTTTGTTGAGTAACTCAGACAATGAGAAGGTCTGATTCTGAGTAAGTCTGGGTATGAGTGAGTCTCAGCATGAGTAAGTCTGAGTATGAGTAGGTCTGAGTATGAGTAAGATATCATGATCAGATCTGGGTATGAGTAAGTCTGTGTATGAGTAAGTCTAGGTATGTGGAGGAGGCGGAGGAGAAGGAGGAGTAGGAGCGTCCAAGTAATAACAAGAACCCCATCTTAGGATATCGGGAATAACTTCTCCCTGTCGCCTGAGACGCCGGGCCGGGCGTTTCGCCTGAGACGCCCTCACCGTTTCTGGCTCTGGAGCTTAAAACGTGGCAACAGTTTCACAGATGGAGGGCGGGAGGTTTTCAAAATGTGGCTCTCGCCTTAGCGCCGTGCACATTCATTTTGAAACTCTGCAAGAGTTTAGCGGATTCAGGGCGGGTCGTTTTCAGAATGTGGTTCTCGCTTTAGCGCGGTGCACATTCTTTTTAAACATTTGCAAGAGTTCACGGATTGAGGGCGGGTCGTTTTCAACATGTGGTTCTCGCTTCGTTTTCGCGCGGCGCACATTCGATTTCAACATTTTGAAGAACCTCGCGGATTTCCATCATCAGCGTACCAAGAATTTACGTGTTGGAAGGGTTCAGGGTTATTCGGGCGCAGCAGTTGCGTTGATTCTTTGTGTTGAAGTCCCTGAAATGGCGTTCTGGCACGATTCCGGATCGTCAAGCGCAGCATTCAGATTGATCCGTAGCGCTGGAATCGCGAGAATCATAACCTCATGCCCGTGAGAATAAACACTAGGGGATAATAGAGTTCGGGGTTCAGGGAGAGATAATAAAAGTAGCCCAGCAGACCTCAGCATAATCTCGAAGTAAGAGATGATCAAGAGGAGACCAAGCCGAGCACGTTTTGAGACATCCTTGGCGTTTAGTTTTCATAGACATATCCTCAACAATGGCTTATCTCGCTGGAGACATCCTCGACAAATCCCTTGTTTCGCTTGATGTTGCTATATCAACATCGCTTGGTGTTGCTATCTCAACATAGCGTTTCGAGGTGATAATGAAGTTCGGCCTCAGCGCTCGCCGCCCAATTTGAATTTTGTATAGGGCGACGATAATCAACTCTAAACACTGAAGGGGGGGGGGGTCCCTTTATTATCATCGGCATGCGGTTATTTTGGCATGTTTCAGGTCTTTTCACGGTTGTGTTCCAACGGGGCAATTTTTTCAATTGAATGAACCATTGTTGGGGCTTGTGAAGAGGGAATTTGGAGGGAGGGTTCTTTCCAACATCTTTGATGACTCTTGGGTTTATACTGGTCCTCCTCCTCCCCCTCCTCCACTTGCTCCTTAGAAATAACTTCTCCCTGCCGCACCGCGTGGCTCGTTGTTAGGGCGGGCCGGGCGTTTCGCCTGAGACTTTCTCACCATTTCTGGCTCTGAAGCTTATACACTTGCAAGAGTTTCACGGCCTGAGGGCGGTTCCATTTCAAAATGTGGTTCTCGCTTTGGCGCCGCACACATTCGTTCCAAACATTTTGGAAGAGCTTCACGGATTCCCATGAACAACGTGCCAGACATGGCGTTTGGGAAGGATTCAGGATTACAGTCGGGGCCCTGAAGAAGGAACCCTTTTGGTTGGGGAGGGGCTCTGCGTTCCTTAAGTGTTTCACAGCTTGCCTCAGGTTTCCCTTACGTTTTCGATTGGAAATCGAAGTTTCACTTCTGGAAAAAGGGGCCTCGTTCCTTATTTAGGGTTCCTTAGGTCAACGCCCCGACTGTACGCGGGTGCAACAGTTATGTTGGATCGCGGTGTCGAAGTCTCAAAAATGGCCTCCTGGCACTTCTCCGGATCGACAAAGCGCAGCATTCAGGTTGATCCGCAGCGTAGGAATCTCGAGAATGATGCTTTGGCATGCTTCAGGGTCTTCAAGCGGTCGTCTTCCAACGAGGCAGTTTTCCCTCCGTGGAAGTGAACCGCAGTAGGGGGCTTATGAAGAGGGAGCTTGGAGGGAGGGTTCATTCTAACATCTTCGATGACTCTTGGGTTTGCACTGGTCCTCCTCCTCCCCCTTCTCCTCCTCCTCCTCCTCCTCCTCCTCCTCCTCCTCCTCCTCCTCCTCCTCCTCCTCCCCCTCCTCCACTTGTTCCTGAGAAATAACTTCTCCCTGCCGCACCGCGTGGCTCGTTGTTAGGGCGGGCCGGGCGTTTCGCCTGAGACTTTCTCACCATTTCTGGCTCTGAAGCTTAAAACGTGACTCTTGGGTTTATAGTGGTCCTCCTCCTCCTCCCCTCCTCCTCCCTTCCTCCTCCCTCCTCCTCCTCCTCCTCCTCCTCCTCCTCCTCCTCCTCCTCCTTCCTCCTCCTCTCCTCCTCCTCCACCTCCTTCTTCTCCTCCTCCACCTCCTCCTCCTCCTCTCCTCGACCTCCTCCTCCTCCTCCTCCACCTCCTCCTCCCCCCCCTCCTCCGAAGGGTCACTCGGAGGGCCCCCCCGGGAGGGCTGCAGGGCGGTGCCGCGGGCCGCCCCCCGCTGCGCGGCCGCAGGCCGAGCGCGCCGCGCGGGCGGCGGGCTCCGACGGCCTCGCGGAGGCGCAGCGGCGGTGCGACGAGGCCGCGCGGGCGCCGGCGGGTTCTCAGAGACTGGGGCATGCACAGTACGCAAGCAGTGGCGAAGCGTCCCGGCTCGCCTACAGCCCTACCAAACAATATTCTAAGAACCTTCCTGTGGTTTCCACGCAATGTTCTTAGAACATTTCTGGCGGCGTCTGTTTTGTTTTAGCACATCGGGTTTATGTTCTAAGAATATTGTTTTTGCTCTTAGAACATGTTTGAAATGTTGGAGGAACATTTCGTGATAGGACTATAGGAACGCCGGGACGGTCGGTCCCTGCTCCAATTACCAGTGGCGGGCCGTTTTTCAATCCCAGGATTGTTTTGTTGGGTCGGGGGCGACATCGGGGTGGTGTGGTGTATACTTTTCCCCCGCTGTCCCCAGGAAGCAGCGAAACATGTATACACCAGGATCCCGTATACACCAGGATCCGCCTTCCTGTGCGAGTTTCAGTGCGGGGCCAGAAAGAGCGTCGGTGCATAGAGTTCGGCTCCTTTTAGGTTCGGCAGCAAGTCGCGGGAGCCCGAGGGGGCCGCGGCGCCCGAGGCGTCCTGCTGAGCCGCGGGATCTCAGAGATTCCTGGCTTGTCCTCGCCGCCCGGTGTGCTGTCTCGGCCCCGGCCATTCGCCCTGCGGCTGCGGCGCGCTGGGATCTCCAGGGGGGGCCCTGGCCGAGCCTCGGCCGCCCCTCTCGCCCGCCTCGCGCGCGGGGCCCGCGGCTGCGGGTCGGCAGATCGCGGGAGAGCGTGGTGCACCCTCTTGTGTCCTCGGAGGTGGATAGACTCGGGGGCGGAAAAGAGGGGGGTGATGACTAATTAGGGGGGGGAAATCATGGCGGGGGCCATGGTATTTCCTCATATTTCATGGCGCCGCTTCTTGTTTCATTACGTCCCTGGCCCCCCCCCCTCGGGGCCGCGCACATGCCGCCGGTCATGATTTGCACCCCCCCTATTGGACACCCCCCTCTTGGCCGCTCCCGATAGACCTCCCACCTTGACACGTCGAAGGGCTCTGAGGAGGGGCGCTCGCAGCCGCGGGCGTGTGCTTCTGGAGGGGCATGGCCACAGCGTGGGCGCGAGCGGGCTCCTGCAATCTGCACGAACCAAATGGGTACGTACGGAAAGAAAGGGTACAATGCCCAACAGCAACGGCGGCGGGTCTGCACGAACGATGCATCGCCGATGTGTCGGCGATGCGGCGAGATCCTCCGGCCCCATACGTTCGGACCCCCAACCCAACTCAACCCAACCCTAACGCCGTAGTTTGCCCTCCATTTCCAATGTGGGGGGGTCGGGGAACATTGACGACACACATCTGGAGCCCGTGTCCCCCCCAACCCGAAATTCGGGTCTTCGGACTGGGTCGGGGTGGTCTGGTATCTTCACGAACGAAATGGGTACGGAAAGAATGGGTACAATGCCCAACAGCAGTTCCTGTTCATTTTGGACAGGACTCGCTGTCCGCGCCGCCGCGGCCAGTGGCCATTTGAGGCAGAAGGCCGCCTGCCCAACAGCGGCCGCTGTTAGTTTGGGACGACATTTGTTGTTGGGCATTGTGCCCATTCTTTCCGTGCCCATTTCGGGCGTCCTAATGCAACACCGGTGATCGGCTCCGCCTTGTGTGGTCCGAATGCCGTGCAGTAGGGACGCGCACGAAGAATCCGATATGCTTCGGAGGTGGATAGACCTCCTACCCTGACACGTCGATCGAGGAGTTGGCCGTTTTCGGTTCGTGAGAGGGCGTCGCGGCCGTCATTTTTGCGGGTCCAGGTCCGTCGAATTCGGTCCCAGGCCGTCTTCACGAAGGGGAGGTTTCCTGAAGGGGGGCTTGCCCACCGCCGAATTCCGTCTTGAGCGTCGATCAGCGTCGATTAGCATTCTGGGAGTCAGTGAGATAGCGCCGGTCTGGAGTCGGTTAGCGTCGATGCAGCGTCGATGAACGTCGACTAGCGTCGATTCGCAGGAGCCGACAAATGGCGTGGGAGGCTCCCATGAGTTGCCACCGAAGGCGGGAGGGGGGAGGGCGGAGGAGGCAAGCCAGGTGCGCTCGCGCCAGATCGGACATCCTACCCCTCCCGCCCATCCCTTCCCTTTGCGTGTTTTCCTATGGTCGCCGAGGGGTCGTTGCAGACCTGGACCCCCCCCAGAGGACCCAAGTGTGGCATGCGCCATTACGACAGGGGAGCTGCATACATTGGAGGAGGAGGTGGCGGATGATCAGGAGGATGAGCAGGAGGAAGAGGAGTAGGATGAGGAAGGACGAAGACGTGAAGGAACAGCAGGAGGCAAGGCGCCGATCCTGGAATGAGGCCAACGCTGAAACGGGAGCAATATTTTGAGACCGAGCACGTTCCGATCGAAACAAACCAAGTCATGACATCTTGTTTGCTATCCATACACATATGAACGTGCATTCCCCAATCAGTGCTTGCATTGAAGGTGTCCTATCGGATATTGAAAGATTTGGCGGAAGTGCCAGGTCGATTCTGTGGGCGGCTGGGTTCCTCGTTTTTCCAGTTCCAGGTTCCTGGGTTCCCCGTTGCTGGTTCCGGGCCGATTTCGGTGGGCGGCGGGGTTCCTGGGTGTTCGTGTTCCTTGATTCTTAGTCGATCTCTTTATCAATCGGTCTGACCATCGATCTCATTACCCACCTCTCGATCGATCTCACTATCGATCCCATAATCCATTTCACGATCGATCTCACAATCGATCTCACTATAGATTGCACGAGCGATGTCACGATCGATCTCACTATCGATCTCGCTGAATCGACTTCACTATCGGTCGCACGATCGACCTAACTACTATCGTCCCCACCGTCGATCCCCAACTCACGACCGATCTCACTATCGATCCGATAATCGATCGCAATATCCATATCACTAGCTGTCAAACGGTCCATTGATTGGGTTGTTCTCTGGTGTGATCTATAACGTCTATGTGTATGTCATCTGACACGCGGAGGGGCCAGGCGACTCCCCAGCCATCTGCGGGGGAGAGGGGAGAGCAGCACCCGTCAAGAGCAGCTGCGGAGGACTGGGAGGGGGGGCATGCCCATCCAGATGGTTCCTCCCCCTCCCCCCCAGACTCTGTCACGTGCTTGGCATCGCTCGGACGTGTGCATTTTTCCGTCGGCGAGGACCATCGAGGAGTATCTTCGATCATCTGGCGAAGAAACCGCGCACGAGACCGAAAAAAACACAGGGAATGGACGTCCGAGCGATGGCGAGCGTGGCATCCTCGCGTTCCTACCCCCCGCCCCAGGATGGTGTATAGACCCTCTTGGCCTCGGCCAGGAGGGCGTGTGCACCATCCTGGGGCCCAGGATGGCCCTGCCTTGGCACGGTGGTGGTGTACAGATGCCTCCTGCGAATCATACCCCCTGCCCCCCCCCTGCCCCCCCCCGCGCGCCCAGCTCCAGCGGCGGCTCGGCGCGGAGCAGCAGGGCGCCCACCAGCTGGCGGAGGAGCGCGCGCGCCTCGGCGGGCAGCTGCAGGCGCCGCCCGGGGGGGGGGGGGCGGGCGCCGCCCTCGCCCCGTCGCCGCCTCGCCCCCCCTCCTCCTTTGGACGGAGCTCGTAGCACTAACAACCTCCTCCTCTGCTCCTCCTCCTGCTCCTCCTCTCTCTTGCTCCTCCTCCTCCTCCTCCTCCCTCCTCCTCCTCCCCCCTCCTCCTCCTCGTCCTCCTCCTCCTCCTCCTCCTCCCTCTCTTCCTCCTCCTCCTCCCTCCTCCTCCTCCTCTTCCTCCTCCTCCTCCTCCTTCTCCTCCTCCTCCTCCTCCTCCTCCTCCTCCTCCTCCTCCTCCTCCTCCTCTGTGTGTCCTTGGCCTCCCCTCCTCTTCCTTGTGCTCCTGTCGACCGAGCTCGTAGCGTGAGTCTCCTCTTCCTCCTCCTCCTCCTCCTCCAGAAATAATCCATATGCATACTGCTTTCCTCTCTCCCCGTGCGGCGTCCGGGGATTGCTCGGCCCCCCTCCGCGTACTGATTGTTTGCACCGGATTCCTGGGAGTTAGACTTAAGTCGGGCCTGTCCCTCTAGAGGAGGAATATTCAAAAGTAGTCAAAACATAGTCTGGGGACGATTTTGTTTTACCATGTTCGAGTATTTTTAGGGTATGTTTGACTTTTTGCTTTTCGTCCAAAGTCCCTCTGTAGGGGGGGGACAGGCCCGACTTAAAGTTAGGTTGTCCTTGGTGCGTTCCTTTCAAACTGCTGCTCTCGCGGAAGCTCTGGCCTCATTTTCGGTCTACCGCTTTTTCCGAATCGTGTTCCCGCTGCAGCGTTGGCGTCATCATTTCCAGCGCCATGCAACGACGTGGGCCCGGGATTTAGAAAATTGCCCTCCGAAAAAAAAAAACATCGGAAGTTGATCATACATGTTGTGTCGATTCGTTGGTTCTTGAGGCCGCAGAAGCACCCCCCCACTCTGGGGCGTCGACACGCCATGCTGTGCTAGGCTAGGCGTCCTCATTTCCGCGCTTCCGCGCTGGGTTTTTTGATCAAAACGCTACTCTCGCTGAAGCGCTGCCGTATTTTTTTCGGGCTACCGCTCGTTCCGAATCGTGCTCCCGCTGCAGCGCTGGCGTCATTATTTCCAAAACCATGCCACGACATGGTGTTCGGTCCTTCCAAATGGCGCTAGAATTCAGAAAATGGCCCTTCGAACAAAAACCATCAGAAGTGAGTACACGTCCAGTGCCGATTCGTTGATTTGTGGGGTCGCAGAAGTCCCCCCCACTTTGGGGCGCCGCCACGCCATGCTATGTCTGGCTACGCGTCCTCATTTTCGCGCTTCCGCGCTTGGGTGTTTTTCAATATGCTGCTCTCGCTGAAGCGCTGACCTCATTTTCGGGCTACCGCTCGTTCCGAATCGTGTTCACGCTGCAGCCTTAGCCTCATTTCCGCGCTTCCGCTCGTTCCGAATCGTGCTCAAGCTGCAGCGTTGGCGTCATTATTTCCAATGCCATGCCACGGCATGGTGTTCGGTCCTTCCAAATAGGCCCCAACATCTAATACATGTTTCCCGGCCGATTCGTTGATTTCCTGGGCCGCGGAAGCCCCCCCACCACTTTGGAGCGTCGCCACGCCATGCTATGTCCTGCTACGCGTTAATAGTCAACATCATGCTATGCTATGGAGTGCTATGCCGTGCTACGGCATCCCATTATGCGAAAATTCGGGAAATCTACGCCATGGTTAGGGATGGGAGGGAAGGGTAGGACGTCAAATATAACGCGAGCGCACTTAGCTTGTCCTCCCCCCCATCCCCCTCCTCCTCCTCCTCCTCCTCCTCGTCCTTCCTGTTCTTGGCCTCTAAGGGGGGATCTCGGTATCGCCATCTGGCGGCGCCGCGGAGAAGGGGGGGTTGGCGGGCGTGGATGGGCCGATTTGCCACCACCACTACAATTGGTAGGACGCGGGAGAAGGGAGGACGGGGAGGTCCTCTTCCTCCTTCTCCTCCTCCTCCTCCTGCCTCCTCCTCCTCCTCCTCCTCCCTTCCCTCCTCCTCCCTTCCCTCCTCCCTTCCCTCCTCCTCCCTCCTCCTCCCTCCTCCTCCTCCTCCGCCTCCGCCTCCTCCTCTTGGAGAAGGAGGAGGAGGAGGAGGAGGAGGAGGAGGAGGAGGAGGAGGAGGGGGAGGAGCAGGGGGAGGAGCAGGAAGAGGAGGAGGATGAGGGAGGAGGAGGAGGAGGAGAGGAGAGGAGGAGGAGGAGCAGGGGCAGGAGGAGCAGAGGGAGTGGAACGGGGGGGAGGGTGCAGGCGAAGGATCTGGATCGTAGGAGTAGGAAGCGGGGACATAGAGGAGGGGGAAATCATCAATTATATGTACATATGTATATACATAGGAGGAGGAGGAGGAGGAGGAGGAGGAGGAGGAGGAGGAGGAGGAGGAGGAGGAGGAGGAGGAGGAGGAGGAGGAGGAGGAGGAGAGCATACGGGTGAGCATGCCCCCCTGCTCCACGTTCCTTCTGCGCCGGGCTGGGGCACAGGGGCTTTGCACATTCAGCCCGCAGCAGGTCGCAGCTCCTCCCCCCAAGTAGTCCACCGCTCCTCCCCAGAGGGGGGGGCGGGGCGTGGGCTGAATCCCTGGGGCTGCACAGTCACAAGTGTGTGGACGATACGTCGACGAGGGCACCGACGACGCGTCGACGATGCGCCTACAACACGCTGTCGGCGATACCGACGATGACCATGACGGCGACCTCGAGGGGCCCTTGGACGTCTCTGGGTATCCAGATGCTTCCAGAGGCATTCGAGGTCTTCCAATGTCCTCAGGAGCCTCCTGGAGGCTTCCGGAGGCCCGAAGAGAGCCAACCGCGTACCGAATTACATTGATTCTCGATTCGATCTTCGACATTTTATTATTTGATTATCGATCATCCTCCTCCGACCCGCGCATCCCCTGACACCTCCCAGGATCCACACTGCCCTGGGCTTGATCCCCGATTGATACATGCAGGCCCCGTGGCACGAAACTTGCTCCCAGTGGCCTGAGTCAAGGCAGCACATCCAGCGCGAAACCTCCGATCCCCACCCCACGGGTTCGCGTCTGAGCCCCACCCCTGGGGTCTTCGATCCCCACCCCTGGGTCCTCGACCCTCGATCACCACCCAAGGGGTTGCTCCTGAGCCGATTCGGCGTCTGATTCCTCTTGGCCGCCTGGTGGACGCGTGGTTCGCCCATCCGGCCGCCGAGCTGGCACAATTCCAGTTGACATCTTGGAATTCGGCCCGTTCGGCTGCCCGCTCGGCAGCAGACCGCACACAGACCGCCGAGTTTGGCCTCCGCGGGGGGCCTCTGGGCAGGCCTTGCGAGGCGCCGCTGCCCCCGCAGGTCTGCACGCGCCCCTGGAGAGTCTCGCACAGGCCACCGGACGTCTTCACACCGAGGCCCGAACGAGGAGACCACTCCGGGGCCCGAGCAGGGAGACGCCCCCAACTCTGGACCCCGACCGTGGATCCTCGATCTTGGTATCGCTCGGACGCGTGCACTTTTTCCCGGCGGGGATGATGGAGGAGCATCCTGGATCCTCCTGCGAAGTAGCCACGCACGAAACCGAGCAAAGAGCACAGGGCATGGACGTCCGAGCGATGGCCAGCGATCCTCTGCCCTGCATGGGGCCCGCTGCCCGGTCGAACGAGCGCGGGGGGGGGGCGGTCTCTGCTGCCCGCAGCCGGCGTCGGCCCCGCCGCTCCGTGGGGGCTCTCCTCGACGCGTGGGCGGCGCCGGCGCCTGGGGTGCGTGCAAGACTCATATCCGTATCCAGTGCCTCTTGCACTTTTTTGGAAGCGGCGCCACAAGGCCGAGGCGCACTGCATATGGATAAACATCGAGCCTCTAGGGGGCAAATTGGCCCATATCCAGTGCGCCTCGGGTTTCTTGGGAAGGGAGCCCGAACCTCCATGCTGCAGTGGATATAGGCAGAAGTATTGCCCGCATGGGGGGGGGCGGGCGCCGGAGGCCTCGAGGCGGGGGCCGATGCAAACATCAGGGTCGGGGGTGGACAGACCTCCTACCCTGACACGTCGATTCAGGAATTGGCCGTTTTCGGCTCGCGAGAGGGCGTCGCGGCCGTCGTTTTTGCGGGTCCAGGTCCGTCGGTTTCGGTCCCAGGCCGTTCTCATTGAGGGGAGGTCTGCTAAAGGGAGGTTTGTCCACCGCCGACGATAGGGGGGGGGCAGGCACAGGGGGGGATGCATCGACCCCCAATCGCCCATTGATCGCCGAGAGGGGCCCGATGACCCAACCACGCCCAGGAAGGTGCGGATCCCTTATCGGGGGCCCATCGCCGATCTATCGACGATGTATCGCCGATTCCAGGTCGATGCATCCCCCCCTATGCCCATCCCCCCCTATCGTTGCCCCTCAAAGCAGGGGTCAGCCAGACCGCGGGATCTTGCAGGATCCTGCAACGTCGAGCGATCGCAAACATTGATCAGGGGAGCGTGGATTCGCGACGGGTCCCCGTTTCCATGGGAAATCGCGGACTGCCGCCGCCGAGAGGGGCGGCACCGGCCGCATTTCAGGGAGGGCACCTCCCCCGATCCATGGATTTGGCGACCGCGCGTCAAATCCATGGATCGCTAATCCGCGCCCCCGACAAAGCCAGGGTTGCTCTGACTGGGGCTCGCGCGCAGGATCCTTCAGGATCCTTCAGGATCTCGCAGGATCTTGCAAAGTCGGGCCGAATTTGCACGTAGACTCCCGACGGACTCCCGAGGGGGGGCGCCGGCCAGGAAGTCCAGCTGCATGCAGCTGGTTCGCCCCCCCCCCCCCCCTCTGCTATTCCCGCCCCCTCGTCCGCCTCGAGCCTCGAGAAATGGGGGGGGCGAGGGGGGGGCCTTCATTCATCAATGGAGGAAGAACCACCCGTACCCAGTCATTGGCGTTTGCGAAACGGCCCTGGGCGTTTACTGAACAGCCCTGCCCTGTTCGATTCCTTCCACGGGTGTGTTTACTGCACGGCTTCGCGTGTCGGGGGGATTATCATGAGGGTGGATGTTCTGCCCTCGAATTCAGTCACGCCTCAAGGCTTTCGGGAGGCCTTCGTGGAGCCCTCCCCGGGCGCTGCTGTAGAGCTCCCCCCCTGCCTTCCCTGACGGCGGGTCCCCCCCCTGCGCCCCGCTCCCCGCGGCGCGCCGCCAGCAGCTGCCGTCTCCGAACATCCCCCCCCGCCAACGGGCCACCTCCGCGCCGCCCAAAGGAAGGCGCCCCCGAAGAGCTTGGATCCTGCACCGTCACTCTCGACCCTCGATCTCGCCGCTCGCCAAACCACCCCGACCCAACCCGAAGGCCCCAAGTCGTCGTCCGTCTCCAGTGTGGGGGGGTCGGGGAACATGGAACAAGCACATATGGAGTACCCCTAAGTAAGTCGGGCCTGTCCCTCTACAGGAGGAATATTCAAACATAGTAAAAAAATAGTCAGGGGACGATTTGTTGATGATTTTTGCGCATTTTGTGCGTACTTTTTTTAGTATGTGTTATTTTTCAGCCGAAATCCCCCTGTAGGGGGACAGGCCCGACTTAAGAGTACCCCCCCACCCACCCCGAAATTCGGGCCTTCGAGTTGGGTCGGGGTGGTCTTGTAGGTGGCCAATCCTCGAGAGGCACCCGCGCCTCCGAAGTCGGAGCCGTCGGGGAGGTCGGGGCGAGCGTGGAGGCCGTGGCCAGTGCCGAGGTTACCTCCGAGGTCTTCTGGCCGCGTGGACTCGTGTGATCGCGTCGCTCGGATGCAGCTCCTGGGAGGTCGACTTCTGTTTTTGCCCTGGTCCGAAATCCGGCTTAATCCGGCCCAATTTGGCTCAATCCCGCCTGATCCGGCTTCATCCCGCTTCATCCCGCTCAATCCGGCTTAATCCGGCTTAATCCGAGGCCCATTCCGGCACAGCAGCCCCCCAATGGGGTTTAATCCTTTTTAATATTCCCGACAAAAACCTCCCAGTAGTTGCCTCCCAAGCTTCGCTCATTCCGCCGGCCCTTATTATTGTCGCATCGCTGTCGATTGACCGAGTTGTGGGGGTGAACGCGAATCCGTTGGGCGGGGTCTGTATGCCTGACGGGGTCGCAGTGACTGTGGAGATGGTCTCGCGGGTTCGTCGTATATTCTGGCGGGGTTATCCTTGGGCAATCGTGGGTGATCACGGGTCTGGTAGGTACTTTTTTCTTGTGTCGGTCAGGGGGGATGATTCTGGATGGTCGCTTTGGGGCGTGGGAACCTCTTGGGAGGCATCTTGGAAGCCTCTTGGGCCTTCTTGGCGGCCTCTTGGGCCATCTTGAGGCCATTTTTGGCAGCTCGGGGCGATTTGGGGGCGCCTCCGGCCCCCCTTAGGGGCGTCTTGGGGCGTTCTTGGGCCCGTGTGGCCGTCTCTTGGGCCGTCTTGGAGCCGTCTTGGGCCATCGTGGGGCCATCTTGAGAGCCTCTTGGGCTGTGTTGGGGCGGTCTTCGAGGCCTCTTGGGCCCTCTCGGAGCGCCGGAGAGCCGAAAGGGCGAGAAGGCTGAAAACCTCAAAAAATCAAAGAGCCTCAATGATTCTTGCCTCTCGGGACGCCTTTTGGAAGCCTCGGGGGGCGCGTTGGGGGCATCGATGGCCATCGTGAGGCCTCTTGGAAGCCTCTTGGGCCGTCTTGGCGGCCCCTTGGGCCGTCTTGAGGCCATCTTGGGCGGGTTGGGGCGATTGTGGGGTGTCTCTGGCCCCTCTTGGGGCTGTCTTGGGGCGTCCTTGGGCACGTGTGGCCGCCTCTTGGGCCGTCTTGGAGCCGTCTTGGGAGCCTCTTGGGCTGTGTCTCAGAGGTCTTGTGGCCGCCTGGATTTATGATATTGCATCCCCTAGCCACCCCTCTTCCGCGCACGTGCCTTGTGCCGTAATGTGGTAGCCCCCATTTTCAACTCCTCCACCTCGTCTTCCTTCCTTCTCCTTCTCCTCATCTTTCTCCTCCTCCTCTCCCTCCTCCTCCTGCTCCACCTCCTCCTCCTCATCCTCCTGCTCCTCCTCCTGCTCCTCCTCCTTCTCCCCCTCCACCGAGGGCGCTAGTAGCGTCAGCCTCTCAGCGCCTCCGAAAGGAGACCATGCGCCACCTGCAGGCCCTCAACGAGGAGCTGGAGCAGGAGCGCAGGCAGCGCGCCGCAGAGGCGCCCTGTGCGCCGCGCCGCCGGTGACCGCCGTCGGCGCCGTCGTCGCAGTCGTCTGCGCTGGCATTGGCGCCGCCGCCGCTGTCGTCGTCGTCGTCGTAGTTTTCGTCGTCGTCGTTGTTTTGATCGTCGTCGTCGTTTTCGTCGTCGTTTTCGTCGTCGTCGTCGTCGTTTTCGTCGTCGTCGTCATTTCTGGTCGTCGTCGTCGTCGGCGTCATTGCTGGTTGTCGTCGTCCGCGCTGGTCGTCCGTCCGTCGCCGTGACGCCGCCGTCGTCGGCGTTTTCGTCGTCGTCGTCGTCGTTTTCGTCGTCGTCATTTCTGGTCGTCTCGTCGTCGGCGTCATTGCTGGTTGTCGTCGTCCGCGCTGGTCGTCCGTCCGTCGCCGCCGTCGTCGTCGTCTTCGTCGTCGTCGTTTTCGTCGTCGTCGTCGTCGTCGTCATTTCTGGTTGTCGTCGTCGTCGTCGGCGTCATTTCTGGTTGTCGTCGTCCGCGCTGGTCGTCCTTCCGTCGCCGTGTCGCCGCTGCCGCCGCCGCCGCCGTCGTCGTCGTCGTCGTCGTCGTTTTCGTCGTCGTCGTCATTTCTGGTCGTCGTCGTCGGCGTCATTGCTGGTTGTCGTCGTCGTCTTCGCCGTGCCGACGTCGTCGTCGTCTTCGTCGTCGTCGTCGGTTTCGTCGTCGTCATCATTTCTGGTTGTCGTCGCCGCCGGCGTCATTGCTGGTTGTCGTCGTCCGCGCTGGTCGTCCTTCCGTCGCCGTGTCGCCGTCGTCGGCATCTCCGTCGTCGTCGTGGTTTTCGTCGTCGTCGTCATTTCTTGTTGTCGTCGTCCGCGCGGGTCCTTCCGTCCCCGCTGCCGCCGACTCCGTCGTCGTCGGCGTCGTTTTCGTCGTTGTTTTCGTCGTCTTCGTCGTCGACGGCGTCATTGCGGGTTCTCGTCGTCCGCGCTGGTCGTCTTTCCGTCGCCGTGTCGCCGCCGTCGTCGTCTTCGTCGGTTTCGTCGTCGTCGCCATTTCTGGTCGTCGTCGTCGTCGGCGTCATTGCTGGTTGTCCTCGTCCGCGCTGGTCGTCCTTCCGTCGCCGTGTCGCCGCTGCCGCCGTCGCCGTCTTCGTCGTCGTCGTCGTGTCGTCAGCGTCATTCCTGGTCGTCGTCGTGTCGTCAGCGTCATTGCTGGTTGCCGTCGTCAATTCTGGTCGTCCTTCCGTCGCCGTGCCGCCGTCATCGTCTTCATCGTCGTCGTTTTTGTCGTAGTTGTCATTTCTGGTCGTCGTCGTCGTCGGCGTCATTGCTGGCTGTCGTCGTCCGCGCGGGTCGTCCTTCCGTCGCCGTGTCCCCGCTGCCGCCGACTCCGTCGTCGTCGTCGTTTTCGTCGTCGTCGTCATTTCTGGTCGTCGTCGTCGGCGTCATTTCTGGTTGTCGTCGTCCGCGCTGGTCGTCCTTCCGTTGCTGTTTCGCCACTGCCGCCGCTGTCGTCGTCGTTGTTTTCGTCGTCGTCGGCGTTTTTGTCGTCGTCGTCGTCGGTTTCGTCGTCGTCGCGGTCGTCGGCGTCATTGCTGGTTGTCCTCGTCCGCGCGGGTCGTCCTTCCGTCGCCGTGTCGCCGTCGTCGTCGTCTTCGTCGTCGTTCTCGTTTTCGTCGTCGTCGTCATTTCTGGTCGTCGTCGCCGTCGTCGTCGTCGGCGTCATTGCTGGTTGTCGTCGTCCGCGCTGGTCGTCCTTCCGTCGCCGTGTCGCCGCTGCCGCCGCCGCCGTCGTCGTCATCGTCGTCGTTCTCGGGGTCGTCATTTCTAGTCGTCGTCGTCGTCGGCGTCATTGCTGGTTGTTTGTCGTCGTCCGCGCTAGTCTTCCTTCCGTCGCCGTGTCGCCGTCGTCGTCGTCGTGTCCGTCGTCAACGTCGTTTGTTTGCGTCGTCGTCGTCGTCATTTCTGGTCGTCATCGTCGTCGTCGGCGTCATTGCTGGTTGTCGTCGTCCGCGCTGGTCGTCCTTCCGTCGCCGTGTCGTCGTCGTCGTTGTCGGCGTCGTTGCTAGTCGTCCTTCCGTCGCCCACGTCGCCGTCGCTGGCTCGGCCGTTTTCGCCGGCGGGGGTTTCGACGCCTTCGTCTCGGAGGTTTTCGAGCTTTTCTGGGGGTCGTGTCAAGCAGTGGCGAAGAGTCATGGCTCGCCTATAGGACCACCAAATAATGTTCGAACAACCTCCTGTGGTCTGCCTGAAATGTTCTTAGAACTTTTCTGGCTGAGACTGTCTTGTCTAAACCAATCGGGTTAACGTTCTAGCTTTTTTTCTTAGGATACGCTTGGGTTCTAAGAACGTCTCTTGGTAAGCCTATAGGAATGCCGGGACGGTCGGTCCCTGCTCAGTCGTGTTGCCATGGTTGGACGCGGGTCAGCCAATTGAAGAGCCAGGGCTGTTACCGGCAGTGGTCAGGGGACCAGATCTTAGCGGTTGCCAGGGTCGAGGATCGAGGGAAATGCTGAAGCACACTCAACATTCACGTCTACGAAGTAACATCAGTTGGACAGACACCGCTGCCATTCTGGCAGATACTTGGTAAGGCTAAGGCGCAGCGGGGCAGTGCAGCCAGACGCGTTGATTCTCCTTCTTTGCTCATGTGCGTGCGCACATCACGAAGGATTCTGGTTTTTGTGGCGCGAATGCGGCGTGATTTGAGAAGGGATATGGCTTCGGAGGCGCGAATCTGAAGTATCTTGTATCCCAGGACCCCCCCAGAAATTCTGAGAACACCCCCCAGGTAAAGGTGACCAGGGCCCTTTTCGGCTCCCCCCCTCGCGCGGACGTCAACAATTCGCAGTCGGAAGCAGAACACAGAATTGCAACATCGGAGGCTGGACACTGGAACGGGTCCTGGAGCAGGCGGCAGCAAGCCTTGCCTGATGGCCCCGCAAGAGGTCTGGCGGATAACCGAGCACGTTTGATAATGAATCGTACACCCTCCTTTCAACCCCTGAGAGTTGATGTTGCCAGGCCAAGACTGAATTTGTCGGGGGGAACGGGCTGCGAGGCCGAACTTCTTTTTCGCCATAGTAGCAATATATACTATCACGAACGTGTGGCGGGACTGTGTGATTCCCACAACTCCAGCTTTCCGAACTGACGAACGTGTGGCAGGGCTATGAAGTTCTCACAGTTCCAGCTTTCCGAACTCACGCACGTGAGGCGGGCCATGGGAATCTGATCATGTCAGCCTTCCTGAGTCACGAACGCGTGGCAAGCCCATGGGATTCCATTTCTCAGTCTTCGAGCTCCCCCGACCCCTCACAGGAGGCCCCGCCAGAGCGAGCAGGATACCGCTATACGAGTTGCCAGGTCGTTGTTATCCCCCCCCCGAGCTCCAGACTTACCTTTCCCCACCCTGTGATTATCAGGGGCATTTGGTTATATGTATAAATGTTGGCTAGGGTCGTGGTCCGCCTCAAAATGGTCGAGCACGTGGTGATGAGCAGGAATTGATCAAGCAATATACGGTGGGTGAGTTCGCCTGTCTCTCAGATGGCCCTGCGTTGCAGTTTCTGCGATCGGTTGGTTTACCGAGCTGCTGCGAAACATGGTGCCCGCACCGAGTGCAGGGGCACACCCCTAGCCCAGCATGAAGCACAGGGCAAAGTTCGGCCCTCGCCCTCGCTGCCAGGCCATACCAAGTCCGCACCCGTTCTTTGTTTGGACGGGGCCATACTCCCTTCTCCTTGGTCGGGGCCTCCGACATATCATGTTACCTGTATGTGTCGTTAGTTGTTCTTCTATCCTTTCCCTCCCCCTCCACCTCTCTCTGGGAGAGGATCGGAGTGAGAGGGAGAAGGGGCAGGGGAACCCGAGGAGGGAAGGAGGATGACATGGGGAACGAAGACGAGTAGCTTGAAAAGGAGGGACGCGGAGATGAGTGAACGATCCACGACGAAGGTGGGAGCATGAAGGATGAGTGGCAAGGAGAGGGGGGGGAGCAGGGAGGAGAAGGAGGAGGAGGAGGAGGAGGAGGAGGAGGAGGAGGAGGGGAGGTGGCAGGAGGCGCAGTCGACGAGAACGTGGGGTGACGAGGAGGAGAGGGGAGCGAGGCATGGGCGGGGGCCGGGCAGCAGGGAAGGCACCGGCGGGAGGGCGACTCGAGGAGGAGAAGGGGCTCCGACTCCTGCCCCCCTGCCCCCCTCTGCGAGCTGTGCGTGCGCGCCCCCCGCCTCTGGAGATGGCCGCGCTTTGTAAGCCGCGGCCCGTGCCGCAGGCCGCTCGGAGGGCGGCGAGAGAGCGTGCGCAGAGAAGCCGCCCAGGCGGGCCGGAGAGTGCGCCAGAGAGACGCCGCCCGGGGCGCCTCGCTGCGTCTGGGGTGGCCCGTCGGGGCAGTGGGAGCGCGTCGTGACTGGGCATCGCTCGGACGTGTGCATGTTTCTTTCTGCGAGGGCCATCGAGGAGCATCCTTGATCATCTGGCGAAGAAAACGCACGAAACCGAAAAAAGCAGAGGGAGTGGACGTCCGAGCGATGGCCAGGCCCCCTCTGCGAGCTGTGCGTGCGCGCCCCCCGCCCCGCTCTTGCAGCCGCCGCTCCGCCGCCTGCGCGCGGGCAGGTGGAGGTGCTCCAGCAGGACCGCAGAGAGCGGCAGGCGCCGCCCCCGCCGACGGCTACAACTCAGGAGGGGAAAAAGCACACAGACACTATTCATCGTCGATCTCCCCGAAACTATGGTGAACTATGGGAAGAGGGGGGGAAGACGAACATCCAAAAATATGTGAAAATATTGGGGATCCTGTTGTTTGTGTGTGTATGTATTTGTGTGTCCTTGGGCCCCTTGAGTAACGGAGCCCTGAGGGCGAAGGGCCTCGAACAGTGCGGATTCCACCTGGCCCCCCCCCCCTTGTCCCAAGTAGGGAAACAAAAAATGACATGAACATAAAAATTCTAAGCTCCGCGCGGGTTTCTCGGATGCACGCTGGAACCCCCCTGGCGGCGCCTCCGGCGCCGCCCCTGGCGCGCGCTTCGCGCGCCAGGCAGGGGGGTCCAGCGCGGATCCAAGAAATCCGCCCGGACCTCAGAGTTTTTATGTTTATGTAACTTTTTTTTCCCCTACCAAGGGCCCAGTCCCTCAGGGCCCCATCCTTGCACAGCCGTTTGATATATCCGAGCGTCGAGGATCAAGATCACGACGAGAGCAGCTCTTGGCGGTGTTCGGCCCCGGCGCCCCCCTGCGGGCCGCCAGGGCCGTCAGAAACAGCGCAGAAGAGCAGGTCATCCGGAAAGCTTCTAGATCTCTGGAAGGCTCGGGGGTGGACAGAACCCCAAACAGTGACACGTCGATTAGTGAATTGTCCGTTTTCGGTTCTCGAGAGGGCGCTGTGGCCGTTATTTTTCAGACTTGCGCCCGCCAGGTTTGGGCCCGAGGTCGTTTTCACTAAACCACGTTTTGCTAAAGGGGGTTCTGTCCATCCCCGAGGTGGGGCGAGCGAGCAGGAGAGGATTCTGCTATGAGGATTCTGCTATCCAGATCGGCCGTGCCATGAGCAAGAGAGCGCGACCGACGACGATGAGACAGCACCATCCCCCAGGCCTCTCCTGGGCGACATGGGGCTGCACCAGAAAAGGCGGTTGGTGGTCGGGTGTCGCCCTTCCCCCAACCGATTCAAACGCCCAGAGCTCTTCCGAGGATCGCCCCCAGGACACTGAGACACGCCGTGGCAGCACGCTGCCACTGCCTGCTTCTCGCACGTACGCTTGGGCAGCCCCGCTGCCACTGCCTGCTTGCTTCCCCCTTTTCGCACGAGTGGTTTTCCTCCACTCCTGCTCTCGCACAACGGGCTGATCTCTGCACTGTAACTGAGGGTAGCTCGTCCGTGCCCTGCCATTTCGCGCCGGAGCTCGTTCGTTGGCCCCTGCATTTCTCGCACGCGCTGCTTCTAGCGAGTGTAGCTAGATAGAGTCGGGCTCCAACTTTGCCTCCCCCTTCTCCCAGCGCACGGTGGTGGCTAGGAAGATGACGTTTGGCTCCAGCTTCGCCTCCTTCTTTTCGCAGCGGCTTGCTCCGACCCCAACGCTGTAGCTGTCGACATCGGGCTCTGCCTTCGCCTCCCACTTCTCGCAGGATGGCGCTCTTCTCGCACGTACAGTTCCCAGAGGTGTGAGCTCTGCCTTCGCCTCCCACTTCTCGCAGGGTGGCGCTCTTCTCGCACGCGCTGTTCCCTGAGGTGTTCACTATACGACGTGTGGCTCCAGTTTCGCCTCCCTTTTCTCGCAGCGGCTTGCCCCGATCCCAACGCTGTAGCTGTCGACATCGGGCTCTGCCTTCGCCTCCCACTTCTCGCAGGATGGCCGCGGCAGAACATTGCTCGCTTTTCTTGCACGCGCTGTTCCCAGAGGCGTTAGCTAGAAGAGACACTCTGGCTCCAGCTTCGCCTCCCTTTTCTCGTAGCGGCTTGCCCCGATCCCAACGCTGTAGCTGTCGACATCGGGCTCTGCCTTCGCCTCCCACCTCTCGCAAGATGGCCGCGGCAGAACATTGCTCGCTTTTCTCGCACGCGTTTTTCCTAGAGGCGTTCGCTAGTAGAGACACTCGGGCTCCAGCTTCGCCTCCCTCTTCTCGCAGCGGCTTGCCCCGATCCCAACGCTGTAGCTGTCGACATCGGGCTCTGCCTTCGCCTCCCACTTCTCGCAGGATGGCCGCGGCAGAACATTGCTCGCTTTTCTCGCACGCACTGTTCCCAGAGGCGTTAGCTAGTAGAGACACTCGGGCTCCAGCTTCGCCTCCTTCTTTTCGCAGCGGCTTGTTCCGACTCCAACGCTGTAGCTGTCGACATCGGGCTCTTCCTTCGCCTCCCACTTCTCGCAGGATGGCCGCGGCAGAACATTGCTCGCTTTTCTCGCACGCGCTGTTCCCAGAGGCGTTAGCTAGAAGAGACACTCGGGATCCAGCTTCGCCTCACGCTTCTCGCAGGCCCTCCTTCTCGCACGGACGACTCCCAGCGTTGCAGCTGATCGTGGCCCACCCGCGCATTTTGCACAGCGCCAGCGTCCGCTGCCACTGCGCGCTCCCTTTCTCGCACGGATTGCTCCCAGCGTTGTAGCTGATCGTGGCCCACCCGCGCCTTCGTCCCTGTCGCAGCGCCAGCTCTGGCTGCCACTGCTTGCTTTCTCGCAGCGTCAACTCTGCCTGCCACTGCTGGTCTTCTCTCACGGCCTGATCCCTACGCTGTAGCTGATCACGCTTCTGTTGTCCCCGCACTCTGCCCGCGGCGCCGCATCGGCTGACGCCCCGGTCTGCCAGGAGGTGGAGACGGAGAGGAGGAGGAGGGGGCGGGAGGGGGCGGGCATCCTGGCAGCTGCGCGTTCGCCTGATCTCAGCGTTGTAGCTGATGGCGTGGGGCTCCGCGCTGCTTCTTCCTGACTCGGGCGCGCAGCGCCACTTCGAAGTTTGCGCGCCGCATCGTCCAAGGGGCCCGGTGCAGGGGGAGGCCGTTCGGACGCGAAATGGCTGAGCAGGAGAGGAGAGGGGAGAGTGGCTGGAGGGGGACATCGGGGAGAGGGATCTCCCCCTAGTCGCTTGCCTGTGCCACGAGTTGTGCCCTCGGCACATGGTCAGGCATCAGCTCCGGTTGTTGCTCCATCGGTCCCACCGCTGCTAGCAGGACCCTTACTTTGCTGCAGGCCGCTCGGGGAAGTGAGGTTCAAAGGTGGCGCTCGACGGATTGCCATCGTGCAATTTCCTACGGCGGAAGAAGTAGTTTCACGGCATCCTTGAGAAGTGCCAATTGTGTCTGCCCGCCGGCCTTGATACCAGCGCCCGCTGCAAGAACGTCCGCTGCAGCCGAGGCCGTGTGGCACCACCGGTAGGATGAGAAAGAGAAGGAGGATGAGGAGGAGGCCAGATTGGGGATGAGAAAGAACGGAGGAGGACGACTCAGGAGAAGGAAGAAATGGAAGGACGAGGTGGAGGATGAGGGAGGGGGCGGAGGAACGAGGGAGTAATACAGGAGGATGGAGCGGGGGTGGCCGACGGGGGACGGAGGAGGGATGAGTAGGAGGAACAAGAGGAGGTAGAAGAGGAGGAGGAGGAGGAGGAGGAGGAGGAGGAGGAGGAGAAGGAGCAGGAGCAAGAGCAGGAGCAGGAGCAGGAGCAGGAGCAGGAGCAGGAGGAGGAAAAGGAGGGACGAGAAGTATGAGGACAGGGAAGGGAGGAGGAGGAGGAGGCGGAAAGGAATGGGAAACTTTGTGAGGCCCCATTTTTGTCAAATACTTTGAAAAGCTCGATCATCCGTCCGCGATGACGACAGTGAGGCAGTAGGCGTCTGGGTGAATCGCCCTCACGGGAGGAAGATGAGCAGCTCTGCGGCAACTGCAATTCCTAACGCCGTTTCTCAATGAGTCCGCCTCCGGAAGTAAACTGAGGATGACTAAGACAATCATGACGACGACGACGGCGACGGCGACATGGAAGCCGACGGCATCGACGGCGATGTCGGCGGCACTGCCATCGACGACGGCGACGAGGACGACGACTGGCGGCGGGCACGGCGGCGGCAGCGATGACGGCGGCGTCGACGACGGCAGTGGCGGCGACGGCGGTGACGACGACGTCGGCCGCGGCGACGACACTCTCGTCGACTCAGAAGGGGAAAAAACGCACAGACACAATGAATCACCATGTACCCCGAAAGGTATGGGAAAATCTGGGCAGTGGGGGGGAAGGCGAAAATCCAAAAGATATGGGAAACTATCCGGAATCCTGTTATTTGTGTGTACTTTTTGCGTGTCCCAGGGCCCCTTCGTCGACGGCGGCGGGGAGCCGCTCGCCGAGCGCGCCCGCAGGCGCAGTGCGAGGGCCTCGAGGGGCAGCAGAGGGCCGCGCGGCAGGCGGTCGAGCAGCTGCAGGCCGAGCTGGAGCGAGCGCGCGAGGCGCTGGGCAAGGAGCCCCGCGGCCCCGAGGGAGGGGGGCGGAGGAGGGGGAGGGGGAGGGGGAGGAGGAGGAGGAGGAGGAGGAGGAGGAGGAGGAGGAGGAGGAGGGAGGAGGAGGAGGAGGAGGAGGAGAGGAAGGGGGAGGGGGAGGGGGAGGAGGAGGATCTCCTCCTCCTCCTCCTCGGCTTCCTCCTCCTCCTCCTCCTCCCCCTTCTCCCCCTCCTCCTCCCCCTCCTCCTCCTCATCCTCCCCCGAGGGAGGGGGCGGAGGGAGAAGGGAGGAGCAGAGAGGAGGAGGGAGGCAGCTGCACGTAAGAGTGACCCTTCGCTGGAGTGACCATCGTTGTCGGCTCACAGGGTGTCGGGTGCTCAGTCTTTGGGGCTGAGCCCGACCTCTCGTCGGCGCCCGCAGCGTGAGGCTGCGCCCGCATCTGAAAGCGGCAAGGGTGGGCCCTCCCTTTCGCAATCAAGCGCAGCGCAAACGCGGTGCATCCTGCAGCGCGCGTTGGTTTCCCGAGGTGGGGGCTGGTCGACTGGGCGGCGCGTTTTCCGCCCCAGGAGCGGTCTCGAACCCCAGCCCAAATCCCAAATAGTCAAGTTTGAATATGTTTGAAGACCTCTGAGCATCCTTTACGACTATCCAAACCTATTCAAACAGATTCCGTACATTTGTCGGTGTGGGCCTCGAAGCCAGACTAGGTCAGACGTCATCGCGGTGCGGCTCGGCGCTGCCAGGCCGCATCGCCCTGGCCTCCGGTGGCGTCCTCTCTCTCTCTCTCAGTGCTGACGAACGAACAACACACACCCATACCCACAGGGAGGTCGTTGGGAGGAGGACTGGCCATGGGTATGGATGCGGGTTGTCGGACCCTGGGGATCGCTCCCGTTCGAGCGGGGACCGCCATCCGACAACACGCACCCATAGCCCTCTCCGATCCCCCTATGGGCAGTATGGGTGTGTGTCGTTGGTTCGGCAAGTACCTTCGGCGTGCCCTTCGGAGCGCTTGAGTTGAACTGGCGGAACTCCGCGGCGGCCCGCTGGCGGCACTCGAGAGCTTTCGAGGCGCACGCCCCGCAGATTTGCAGTGCGGTGCGCCGGAAGCTCTTCGCGCGGTCGCGTGGGGCCCCCGCGGGCGACCCCGAGGCCGCGCACCAAGAGGGCGTTTCGGTCTATGCGGTCGCTCTTGCGAGTAGCCTTTTATGTCGGGCGTGTCTCCCATACAGGGGGACTTTCGACGAAAAACAAAAGACACACCAAAAAATACCCCAACAAGGTCAAATAAATACTCAAAAGGTAGTCCCCTGACTATTTTTGGAGTATGTTTCGATTATTTTGGGGGTATTTGTTTTTTGTTTCGTCGAAAATCCCCCTGTAGGGGGACAGGCCCGACTTAAGAGTAGCCGAGATGGACCCCAGGCGGGGTCCTGGGGCAGAGTTTGCGCGGATCTTGGCCGGACGGGCGACTTGTCGTTGTCTCGCGCTGCCCTCCCCCTCGGGGGCGGATAGACCTCCTACCCTGACACGTCGATTAAGGAATTGGCCGTTTTCGGTTCGCGAGGGGGCGTCGGGGCCGTCATTTTTGCGGGTCCAGGTCCGTCGGTTTCGGTCCTCGGCCGTTTTCACTAGGGGGAGGTTTACCAAAGGGAGGTTTGTCCGCCGCCGACCCCCGAGGTTGGGGAACCGAGGGCCTGCAATCTTGCGACACCTGGGCCCTCTGCGGGTGCCCGCGCCCCGCCGCGGCTGGGTTCTGGGGGTGGACCTAGACAGTGGTTTGGCGATTTCGTGGGCCGTGTTCTTTTCGATTTCGTTTTGCGTTGAGGGCGGAGTGAAGACAGAACGAGGGTAAGCGAAAAGCGAAAACGAAGAACCCCGTTTAGGTTCAGCCCTGTTGGGTTCCCCTTGAGATGCTGGGGGGGAGGATCGGTAGGGACCCTCCCAGACTCGAGGCTCGGCGACTCTAGTTTTCGCGCTCCTCAGGGGGACCCCCCCCGAGCAGAGCCCCGTCGCGGGCAAGCACTGTGCGCCCAAGGTGCCGCGCTCCCCAGCCCGGCGCACCGGCATGCCCAGGCTGCCCCACGAGCGGGGGGGGCACGGCCCCCCGGCCCCCCGCACGTGGCCATCCCTCGGGGCCTAAGAGACGGGGGTCAGTGCAAACGGGGGTCAGCACCGGATCCTGCAGGATCCTGCGAAGGCCCCCTCTGGCTGACCCGGGTTAGCGAGCCGCTAGTGGCCGCGAGGCGGCCGCTCGTATTGGCTGACCCGGGTTTGCGAAGACCTGCGTTGCATTTTTTTTCCCTGCATTGCAGTTTTTGGTTTCCTGCTGACCCGGGTCTGGATTGACCCGGGTCAGAAGATCCCCGAATCCCACATCCAAAGTTCAAGCAGTGGCGAAGCGTCCTGGCTCGCCTATAGCCCTACCGAACAATGTTCTAGGAACCTTTTGTTGTGGTTTCCGCGAGTTGTTGTTTGAACATTTCTGGCGGTGTCTGTCTTGTTGTATCACATCGGGGTTCTGTTCTAAGAAATTGGTTTTGTTCTTGGAACATGTGTGAGTTCTAAGAACACTTCGTGGTAGGACTACAGGAATGCCTGGACGGTCGGTCCCTGCTCAAAAAGTAAGGTACGCACGGAGTTATTGCGGTGGGGCGGTCCTGGGCCTTGTGAACGGTTGGGCCCCTTATGGGGTGGCGCCCGCGCTGCCACGTCTGGATTCCCGCTCGAGCTTCTGTCCAGAACGCACTCCAGGAATCCTGAGGGGGCCGTTCTGGTGTGAATCCGTAAGTGCGTGTGATGAGAACTGCTGAGGCCCCGCCTTCCTGTGCCCTGTCTCCCTACAAAAGCTGTGCGTAGCCCGCCTAGCTTTTAGCGGAAGAGGTTCGCTCTCGCCCCGCAGATCAAAAAGTGCAGAGAATTGCTGGTTGAAGGGGCCTCCGGAGACCTCCAGGGATTTCGGGGATCATGCGGAGACCTCCAGGCTCCAGGGATCCCCAGAGACCGAGACCTCCTTGGCCATCGGGGCAAAAGAGGCGGGGGTCAATGCGAAGGGGGTCAGTCAGAGCGCCGGATCTTGCAGGATCCTGCAAGGCCATGGTCGCCTTGGCCTTGGCTTGGGCGCAGGATCCTGCAGGATCTTGCAAGGCCTGATTGACCCAGGTTTGGACTGACCCGGCTTCTTGGATCGCCGCGGTGGTTGCTAAGGGGACGGGAGAATTAGAAGTGGATGCGAAAGTGGGTTGCAAGTGCCCTATGTGGTTTAGGATGATGAGGTAACTCTGCCGAGTGGGCCTCGCCAACTTAGCCCAGACCTGTGCGCCCTTCAGCCACTTCGGGCACGTGCAACCCACTTCGCAGCTGGGTCAGGCTGGAAAGAACTGTACCCCCCTATCCTCAGAGCACCCCCCGCGGCGATCCAAGTGGACCTAGACCTCCTGCGCCATGTCTTTGTGTCAGTCCTCGTATAGAACGTCGTTACCTTATGGTCGCTCGGGGGCATGTGTCCACAGTTCTCCTCTGTGCACTGTGGACGTTCGGGGGGCTAGCCTGGAGTAGAGTTGGCCCAGTTGTTAGACGTTCTTAGACTGCTGTTCAATATCACGCACTTCCCCAATATGACCAGAAAGATGCTCCTCCGCGCGCCGCCAGCGAATAATGTGCAGCGCGCTCAGACTCGTAGAGTCGCGCGACGTTGCTTACCCCGCCCTGGCGGATGACAGGAAGTGCCCTGAGACTCGAAGAGTCGTGTGATGGACGTTAGTAGTGTCCAGGAGGGGAATTGTTGTTGGCTTGTGTTAGTGTCATCATAACATAATTATTTATCAGAGTGAGGTGGCCGAACGGTCATTCACTGTCCCTGAGCGCGTGGGGCGGAGTGGTGTTGTTGTTGGTTGTGGTAGTGAAGTTGTTGTTGGTGCTGTTGTTGCTCTTGTTTGTTGTTTGTTGTCGTCGTCCCACCCCGACCCCGCCCGCGACCCACCCGCGACCTACCCAGCGACCCACCCGCGACCCGCCCGAGACCCACCCGCGACCCACCCGCGACCCCGCCCGTGACGTGACCTACCCAGCGACCCACCCGCGACCCTCCCGCGACCCACCCGCGACCCACCCGCGACCCCGCCCGTGACCCACTCGCGGCCCACCCGCGACCCACCCGCGACCCGCCCGCGACCCTCTCGCGACCCACCCGCGACCAACCCCGCGCCCGTCCTCATTACTCTTATCCGCAATTGCGGGGTGCTACATCTTGATCCATACGAATTTCGCCCCCTGCCGCTGGCCCCCTCTAAGAGAATGGGGTTTGCAAGAGCTATGGTGTGTGTTGTGAGGCCTGGGCGCCGTCGTGCAGCAACGTCGGAACTCCGGATGGGGCCACTGGAGATATGAGCGTGCCAAAATCAGCCAAAAACCTTAGGAACATCGCAGATGTTGGCCTCTTGGGCCCCTCTTGAGGGCGCTCTTGGAGCGCTCTTGGGGGCCTCTTTGGAGCCTCTTGGGCCGTCTTGGGACCATCTTGGGCGCCTTAGAGCACTCTTGGGCCGTCTCGGAAGCCTCTTGTACCGTCTTGGGGGCCTTTCATGAAGGATTGTGGCCTCGAAAGCGCGACTGTTGCGTACTTTACACGGTTTATGACCCTGGGAACGCGAAGGACGAGTAATTTACAAGGGATCGTGGCTTCGGGGACGCAGCTATTGAGTAATTGTGAAGAGAATGTCGCCTCGGAGACGCGAATATTGTTTCATTTGCGTCGAATTATGGAAATTAAAGTGGAGCAGGGAGCAGCAGACCTAAACCGCGGAGCCTGCTGGCCCCGCATGGGGGCCGCCGGACTTTTCTAGATAACTAGCTATGTATGTGTATATATATATATACATAGACGTATACAGATGAAAAGGGGATCGGGCTGTGGAATGGCTCGATGTTGCTCCCCAGCTCGCACCTCGTGCACGACTGGGCGCTCAGACTGGAAGAGCCGCGCGATGGACGTTGCTGCAGGCCCAGAGGGAAACCTTGCTGCTGCTGGGGGGGGATGCCTTGCTGCTGCTCCTCTCGTCGCCCCTGGCGGCTCGGACTCGAGAGACCGCGAGGTGGGCGGTGGCAGAGGCCCGGCGGGGCACGTTGATCCACCCGGGGGGTCCAGAGTCCTGAGGGGAAGAACATGCACAGACACAATGACTCCTCGGTTCCCCCGAAAAGAGGGGGAGTGGGGGGGAAGACAGAAACCCAGAAAGTATAGGAAAATTTAATCGCTTCGCTCATTCCGCGGGCCCATATTGTCGCACCGTTGTGGGCTAGCCGAGTTTGGGGGCCTCTTGGGGGCCGTTTTTGGGCCTCTTGGGGCCTCTTTTGGGCCTCTTGGGCGCCTCTTGGGGCGTCTTGGGGGAAGTGGGGGGGAAGACAGAAACCCAGAAAGTATAGGAAAATAGGGGGAATCTTTTTATCTGTGTGTGTATTTCTTTGTGTGTCCTGGGGCCCCTTCACAGAGGGGCCACGGCTCGAGGCTGCTCCTCCGCCGCGCGGCCCCCGGGGACGGGGTCGGCACGGCGGGGCCGCGCGCCTCGACGAGGCCACGACCGCCGGAGGCCCCGGCACCTCTCGCAGCACGGAGAAGAAAGAGGAGGAGGGGGGAGGGGGGAGGAGGAGGAGGAGGAGGAGGAGGAGGAGGAGGAGGAGGAGGAGGAGGAGGAGGAGAGGAGGGAGGAGGAGGATGAGGAGGAGGAGGAGGATGAGGAGAGGAGGAGGAGGAGGAGGAGGAGGAGGAGGAGGAGGAGGAGGAGGAGGAGGAGGAGGAGGAGGAGGGGAGGAGGAGGAGGATGAGGAGGAGGAGAGAGGGAGGAGGAGGAGGAGGAGGAGGAGGAGGAGGAGGAGGAGGAGAGGAGGAGGGGAGGGGAGGAGGAGGAGGAGGAGGAGGAGGGAGGAGGAGGAGGAGGAGGAGGAGGAGGAGGGGAGGAGGGGAGGAGGAGGAGGAAGGAGGAGGAGGAGGAGGAGGAGGAGGAGGAGGAGGAGGTAGGAGGAGGAGAGGAGGAGGAGGAGGATGAGGAGGAGGAGGAGGAGGGAGGAGGGGGAGGTGAGGGGAGGAGGGAGGAGGGGGAGGAGGAGGAGGAGGAGGAGGAGGAGGAGGAGGGAGGAGGAGGAGGAGGAGGAGGTGGAGGAGGAGGAGGAGGAGGAGGAGGGGGGGGGGAGGAGGGGGTGGGGCGTCGTCGCGGGCCTGGGCCTTCTCGTCGGTCCCGCGGAGCCCGCGGTGGGCCTCCGGACACGAAGCCGCTGCCTCGGGGGTGGGGGGGGGGGGGAGGGGCGGGGCGCCTCGGTGCCCTGCGACGTCTGGTCGCGCAGGCTCAAGTCGGGCGTGTCCCCCTACAGGGGGATGTTCGACGAAGAATAAAAAATACCCCCAAAATAGTCAAAAAATAGTCAAAAAATAGTCCGGGGGCTATTTTTTGAGCATGTTTTGATCTTTTTGGGGTATTTTTTATTTTTCGTCGAAAATCCCCCTGTAGGGGGACACGCCCGACATAATCGTAGGCTCAGGGGGGGACGCATCGACCCCCCACTGCCCGCTGGTCGCCGATAGGGCCCGACAGTCCAGCCCGCCCAGGAGCGTGCGCGTTTCCGCCATCGGGGGGCCCATCGCCGATCTATCCGCGATGGATCGCCGAGGCCAAGTCAGTGCTTCCCCTACTGAGAGCCGGTCCCCCCGATGCCTACACCGTTGCCCCGCAGCTTCCGCCGCGGGTTGCTCTTCAGGGGTCTCTCGAAGCGCGTGGCGGGCCGGACGGGTCGGAGGGAGGAGAAGCGATGCCAACACCACCAGGGGGCCCACCTCCAGTGCGGAGGTCCACGATGCCTGCTCCGAGCGGGAGGCTGGGCATGCCTCGAGCGAGAGGGGGGGACCACACCGCCAGGGAGACCCCCCTGGCCTCCGCGCATCTCCTCGCCCTGTTGGTGTTGGTTCGTCCAAAATCCGTCTTGTAGGGGGACAGGCCCGATTTGGAGCTACCGCGAACTCTGGGAGGGGCGTCCCCCTCGCGCTGGCCACATGGGCTCGCCGCGAATTTTCTCGCTGTTCCGGCCACCACGGGGCCCTTGGTATCGCTCGGGCGTGTGCACTTTTTCTCGGCGGGGACTCTTAAGGAGCACCCTGGATCATCCTGCGAAAAAGCCACGCACGAAGCCGGAAAAAAAACACGGGGACTGGACGGCCACCACGGGGCCCTGGCATCGCTCGGGCGTGTGCACTTTCTCTCGGCGGGGACTCTTAAGGAGCACCCTGGATCATCCTGCGAAAAAGCCAGGCACAAAGCCAGGCACGAAACAAAAACACGGGGACGGGACGTCCGAGCGAGGAGGAGGAGGAGGAGGAGGAGGAGGAGGAGCATCCTGGATCATCCTGCGACAAAGCCACGCACGAAGCCGAAACAAAAACACGGGGACGGGAGGTCCAAGCGAGGAGGAGGAGGAGGAGGAGGAGGAGGAGCATCCTGGATCACCCTGCGAAAAAGCCAGGCACGAAGCCGAAACAAGAACACGGGGACGGGAGGTCCGAGCGACAGGGGAGAATCGTGGGGCCCTCTGGAGGGCCTGGGCCCGCCGGAGAACGGAGGGCACCCAGAGGGGGCCTCGGGGAGCCGGCGGGCTCTCGCGCTGTCCAGGGGCGGCCTCCATCTTCGGGCGACGGAGGAAAACGGTGGTCGACTGCGTGTCTCCTCCTCCTCCTCCTCCTCCCTTCCTCCTCCTCCTCCTCCTCCTCCTGCTCCTCCTGCTCCTCCTCCTGCTCCTCCTGCTCCTCCCTGTCCTCCTGCTCCTCCTCCATCCTCCTCCTGTGCTCCTCCTCCTCCTCCTCCTCCTCCTCCCTCCTCCTTCTCTGCTCCGCTCCTCCTCCTCCTCCTCCTCCTCCTCCTCCTTCTCCTCCCGTGGGCATTCGCGCGTCAGCTTCCCGCGTCAGTTCGCGCGTGCGCGCCTTCTGGTTCCCGCGGTGTGCCGCGCTGGCGGCCCGCGTTGGCCTCCGCGTTAGGCGGCGGCGAGGGAGGGGGGCAGCGAGGAGGAGAAGGCCTTCTCAGAGGGCGGCGGGACTTCTCAGAAGCCCTCGCAACTTCTGTCAAGTTTGTCGTGTGTCTTCGGGGAAGGCTTCGGAGACTTTCGGAAGGCCGGGGGACTTCCGAGCCTTCTGAGAAGACATTATCCTTCTCACTTCCCCCCGTGGGCTCGCCGCCGAGTATGGTCGCTATGCGCACGACCCGACTCCTTGCATTCGCCCTGGTGCGTTCGGATCTGCCGAGAGCCAGAAAGCGCTGCCCTTCTAGGCAGGCCTTGGATCGGGAGGCATCGCTCCAGCGCGTCCAGAAGCACTCGCAGAGCGCACCGGAACGCTCCGACATGACCGCGGCGCCTGGTAAATCCTTCTCCTCCTCCTCCTCCTCCTCCTCCTCCTCCACCTCGTTCGTTCGTTCGTGGTGAGGCAAGAGGTCGATGCCTATGCAGAGAGCAGAAGCGAGAAGAGCAGCGGAAAGGAGCAGAAGCAGAAGCAGCAGCAGCCATACATGTGGAAAGGAGTAGGGGCTGCGGCCTGAGCCATGAGCGTTGCCTGGGTTATTACCTCGGGTGCAAACCAAAGAGAAAGGACGTATACCTTCACCCAGCAAACTGGGCTACTGCGCAGCCTCCTTTTCCTCCTCCTCCTCCTCCTCCTCCTCCTCCTCCTCCTCCTCTTCCCGCTCCTCCCCCCGCCCCCCGTCTCGTCGTCGTGATTACCCCCCCGTCGGACTTGCTCCTCCTCCGCCTATCCCGACGCGATGTTGTCGAGAGCATGTCTTCGTTTCCTGCTGCCGCGTGTTCTTCCGTCCTCCCGGATGACGTGCAGAGAGCCAGGAAAAGAAGAACGGGGCCGAACTGCAGCAGATGCTCGACGCGATACAAGCGGCCCACCAGGACATCTTCACAAGGTGGCGCGTGGTTTTCTCTCTCTCTCTCTGTCCCTCTCTCTCTCTGTCCCTCTCTCTCTCTCTGTCCCTCTCTCTCTCTCTGTCCCTCTCTCTCTGTCCCTCTCTCTCTCTTTCTCTCTCTCTCTCTCTCTTTCCCGAGACTGTTGTCAGACGCAGCGCACCACACCACACGCCACCAGTTGCCCGTGTGTCCGCGGCTGCCTGACAGAGCCCAGGGGGTACCCGAGGGGGCTCCTACAGGGGCGGCCGCTCGATGACCGCGAAGGGTGGCGGGGGATTGCGAGCACCGAGCGTCGCCTCCGGCCGTGACAATAATCTTCGAGGCCATCAACAGCTCAGGCGGATCCTGGGAGAGGGGGGACGCGGAGGCGGCGCAGAACCTCTGGGCCGCCCGTGGGCTCTGGGCAGACGCGCGCTCGACCCGTGGGTCCTTTGGTGAGGGGACGAACCGAAAAGTCTAGCCTTTCGCCCCAAGACGCTCCCAGGAGGCCCCCAAGCGCCCCCCAAGAAGCCCCAAGAGGCCCCTAAGAGGCGTCCCAAGAGGCCACCAGGAGGCCAAAGTCATTGGTTCCCTACGGGAACATGTACACTTGTAGCATACCAGGCTTTTCGGCGTTCACGGTGTTGAAGACGGTCCAAGCGGCCCCAGAGACCACCCCAAGACGGCCCAAGAGGCTCCCTAGGGGGAGAGCCTCCGAGATGTCCTCCCCCGGGGGCGTCTGGCATCTGGAAGCCCCTCGGGGGTCTCTCCTGGGTCTCTGGGGCCCGCGCGTGGCCGCAGTGCGGCCCCCGGCCGCGCAGCGACAGGCAGTCAGGGCGCACAGTGAGGAGGAGCAGCTTCCAAGGGCACCCCTTGCCTTGGCATCGCTCGGACGTGTGCATTTTGCTTTCTGCGAGGACCATCCTGGACCATCGAGCAAAAAAAAACACGCACGAAACCGACAAATGCACGGGAAATGGACGTCCGAGCGAAGGCAAGTTGCATGAAGTCGGGCACGTCCCTTCGCAGGGGGAAGAATCAAACATAGTCTGGAGATTATGTTCTATGGTTTTTGTATACGGGGCGTGAAAACGACCACAGCCTGTGCTTTTCTTTTGTTGCCGCCTTCCAGCCCGCAGGAACAAAGCAGTGGTTGTGGTCATTTTCGTTGAGCTTGGCACCAGGGAAATGACAACAACCATTGCTTCTTTTTCGGCCGGCTGGAAGGCGGCGCAAACAAGAAGCAGTGGCTGTGGTCATTTTGCCGTCCCTCATTCCCTGGGGGAAGAGTCAAACATAGTCTGGAGATGATGTTCTATGGCTTCTGTAGCAATGTTTGAATATTCGGGATCGTGTTTTGCATTTTCTTCCCAAAATCCGCTTGTAGGAGGACAGGCCCGACCCAACCCTTGCATCCTTGTCCCATCGGTGTTCGACCGCGCCCCGCTTGAGAAACGTCAGCATGGCCTTCCAGGCCTTGGCTGTAGACCCCCAGTCACCCAGCGCGTTCCACTCCTCGCAAGGTGCCTACTCGCAAGCGTCGTAAAAACACATGTCTGCTTTGATGCCATCTAGCGTAGAGCCCCCGCGGGGGATCCAGGCCATTTGCGAGTAGTTACTTTGCGAGTAGTGGAGCGCGCTCGTCTACCCAAGAGAGGCCGCCAGGACCCCCTCCCGGAATGCCTCGTCCCAAGCAGGCCCTCCGAGGGCCCAGGCTGCCCCCACGCGTGGCCGCAAGACGGGATGACCTCCGAGGCTGCCCCGGCAGCCCCCAGGACCCCAGGAGTTTCCTGGGTCGGGAGCCTCGAGTCCCAGAGATCCAACGTATTGAAAAAATCGGGCCGGACGAAAGGGGGGGATTGGGAAAGGGGTGGTTACGAAATCTGCTGCATGCTGAGAGAATGGTGGCTGTTGTGCTAGTTGCACCATAGGTACAGCTAGGTATAAGATACTTATAGCAAAGGATAAGTACTTAAGTATGTCTAACTATTTTTATGTACCCTTAAGTAGTTGTCTTGTCGCGTAACAATACTTAGGTTAGTTATAAGTATTTCGCTGATTGTTCATGACGGTGTAAGATACTTGTTAACTACCGCTAAGTTACTTACCCGTGCTGAGATGCAATACATATAAGTAACATATATGTTACTTATAAGTAACTTATTTCTTCCTTCCATCCCTCCTTCGCTCCTCTTCCCCTCCCGCCGCGCGCCCGCCCGCCGCGCCGCAGGGACGTCGCGGCCCGCGGCCCCCATGCAAAGGAGGACGAGGAGGAGGGCGAGGAGGAGGACGAGGAGGAGGAGGAGGGGGAGGGGGAGGAGGGATGAGGAGGAGGAGGAGGATGTAGTTTTTAGAAACGATTTTTCGGAGTTGGGGAAATCTTTGTTGGATTTGGTGAGGTGTTCTGGCTTTGGAGAGGTTTTCTGGATTTCAGGAGGTTTTTCAATATTTGGGATTTGCCCATCGACCTGGAGCTCGTCGCGGCGCCGCCTGGTGGGTGCTCGCCGCGGTAGCGGTGGCGATCGCTTGGGTGAGGAGGAGGGGGATGGGGAAGGTAGCGATGTCGATCGCTTGGATGGGGAGGAGGAAGAGAAGCGATGGCGATCGCCTGGGTGAGGAGGAGGGGGATGAGGAAGGTAGCGATGGCGATCGCTTGGAGGAGGAGGAGGAGGAGGAGGAGGGGGGGGAGGAGGAGGAGGAGGAGGAGGAGGAGGAGAAGCGATGGCGATCGCTGGGGGAGGTGAAGCGATGTCGATCGCTTGGAAGGAGGAGGATGAGGACGGGGAGGAGGAAGAGAAGCGATGGTGATCGCTTGGGGGAGGGTGGGGTGGGGGGAAGAGGACGAGGGGATAGCGATTACGGTCGCTGGTCTTTTTGTTCGCGCTTGCGGGCGCGCGGCGCGCTCCGCGCTTGCGGGCGCGCGGCCTCACCGCGGAGGCGGAGTCGACGGCGGCGGCATTGGCGCCTTCGCCGCCGCTGGCGCCGCTGGCGCCGCTGGCGGCGCCTTCGCCGCCGCTGGCGCTTTCGCCGCGGCGCGCGCCGCCTTGGCCTTCGCCGCCTTCGCCGCCGCCTTCGCCTTCGCCGCCGCCTCCTTCTCCTTCTTGTCCTTCTTCTCCTTCTTCTTTTTCTTCTTTTCCGCCTTCTCCGCCCTCAGCTGCGCATTTTCCGCCTGAAGGCGCGCCTGCTCCTCCCTCCGCAGCAGCTGCGCCTCCTGCGCCCCCTTCCTCAGCTGCGCGTTCTCCGCCTTCAGCTCCGCCTCCCGCCGCAGCACCGCGCCCCTCTCGCCGAGCGCGATCACTAGCTCGCGCTCCGCCTCATTCGTCGTCGTCGTCGCCGCCGCCGTCGTCGTCGTCTCGTCGTCATCGTTTCCCGCCTCATCCAGCCACAGCGAGAGCTGCACGGCGCGCTCTGTCTGCTCCGCGTTGACAGTCTGCAGAGGCGGGGGGAGGGGGAGAGGGGCGGTGGAGTGAAGGGAGGAGGGGGTGGGGGGAGGGGTGAGGAGGGGGAGGAGGGGGAAGGAGGAGGTGGAGGAGGAGGAGGAAGGGGAGGAAGCGGAGGAGGAGGATTCGGGGGAGAGCGATGGCGATCGCTGGGAGGAGGGGGTATCCGCCTCCGCGAGCTGCTGCAGCAGGTTGTCGCGCTGGCGCCTGAGCGCCAAAGCGCGAGCCCCCTGCGCGAGCTCGCGCGGAGCACCCCACATCGCGCCTCCGCGCCCCGCGCGCGCGAGCCCCGCGCGCCTCCACGAGGCAGAGCGGCTGCGCGCGGCGCTCAGTGATCCCCTTTATCATCATCCACCTTCCTTTCAGCGATCGACATCGCTTTCCTTCTCCTCATCTTTTTTCCTTCTCCTCATCGTCATCGCCGTCGCTTCACCTCCCCCAGAAGGAGGAGGAGGGGCGACGGGGGGAACAGCGATGGCGACCGCTTGGGGGAGGGGGGGAGGGGGGAGTAGGACGTGCACGGACCGAACCCTACGGGTTGCAAAAACAAGAGAGGAGGAGGAGGAGGTGGAGGAGGGATCATAGGAGGAGGAGGAGGGATGGGGGATGTAGCGATGGCGATCGCTTGTGTGAGGAGGAGGGGGATGGGGGGAGGTAGCGATGGCGATCGCTTGGAGGAGGAGGAGGAGGAGGAGGAGGAGGAGGAGGAGAAGGAGAAGCGATAGCGATCGCTTGGGGGAGGGCGGGGAGGGGGAGGGAGAGGCAGAGAAGCGATACCGATCGCTAACTTAAGTAGGCGGCAATCGTTGTGAACGATCGCTGTGCATAACCGTTGGCGGCTTTGCAGTCGCGCCGCGCGCGCGACGCGAGTGACGCCCGCGGGCGCCATGGCGGCCGACCTGGTGAAGCAGCTGAAGGCCGCCAAGTCGGTCCTCGCCCAGATCGGGAAGAAGTCCGACGCGTACAAGGAGATCGTGGAGGCGCAGAGCGTCATGGCGATGGCCATCATGGCGCCGTGGACCTTCGTCTCCGCCGAGGACTCGGCCATGCTGATCCTGGAGATAGGCCAGATGCCTTTCGGCAAGAGGGCGCTTGCCACGCTGCTCGGCCGCGTCGCGACGTTGGCGACGGCCTCAGCGCAAATGTTGGCCGCTAACGCGGCCGCGAGCGCGGAGCTGGCGGGGTCGGGCAGGACGCCGATGCAGGACTTCTCGCCCATCCTGGCCCACCTCACGAACAGGCAGTGGGGCAAGATTCTGGACGAGCGCAACGACTTCATGGGTCGGGTTGCGGTCGTCCTGCAGGCTTGCAAATCCCTCGGGTGGCGCACGCTGCATGCGCCGACGGTTCAACTGGCGGCGTGCGTCGCCCTCCTCGTGGACGGCTTCGATTGGACGATGCGCATGTGTCCGATGGCGCAGTGGGGCTATTTCAAGCGGGCGAAAACATACGCCAAGAAGCTCCTGCCGTGGAAGTTGTGTAAGCAGCTTGCCGCGACCGAGCCGTCCTTCGTCAGCGAGCTCCCTGCGGACCCGACTGACATGCCGAAGGTGCACCCCGAGTGGTACTCGCGCGCGTAT